AGTGAAAATAGTTTGAAACCTCTATTGTTTATAGCCTTCATTTTATTGTCCCCTTTAAACAAAGGTGCCTCAACATGTTGGTAGCCATGAAATGTGACTCATGAAGAGTAAACTGACCAAAAGGTAATAAATCCCTAGTTTAATGCATGACTGTTTCCTTTTGTGCATATGGAGTGGTGGGGGATGGAGCGGAGTGTTGTAGGGGGTCGATTTGGAGTTTCCATATGTAAATAGTTGAAAAGCTGCCCCCAGCACCCGTCCTTACATTGCAAGCTGGTGTGACGCATGTACTCAAACTGGGAGATTAAAGTGAATGACCGGAGAAACGCCAAATTCATAACGATAATTACTTTTTTTCTGCTTTTGTAATTGTCCAATAAACGTCTACCCGTGCATTCGAAGTACTGTTTTTCTAATACAACCAAAGTTTTACACGTGTAAATTTCATTAATGAATTACTGGCGTCAATTTTTTTTTACTATACTGCAAGACGTCGCATTCTTGTTTCCGAGAAAGGGGTTGGTTTTTAGGATCCAGTGCGCTGTCTTTCTGCTCTAAAGAGTTGTTCCATTTAGTAAATCAATCTACAATCTCTCAAGTGGGTAAAGGTACAGCACTGTAGGTGTCCTTCTCTCTGGCGCCCTCGCGGGGTTAAATGGGCTACTGCAACGCTAAATCTAAAAATCAGAAATTCAAGCTTTCATGAACACGCATCGTTGTTAATAGCCGCTGTTCCATATCTGTAGAAATAACCGAAAACAAGTTCAATGGAAGAGGTTTTCCTCGCATCACTTTGAGAGAATGAGGTTTGCGTGGTTACTTAATGTTATGTGTGTTTAATTACAATCAGCATTTAAAATACAGTATTGGATACTTAAGTATTTTTAATTGCCTCTTTGTACACGTCTCTAGAATATGTACAACAAATCTAAACTATCGATTTACTTTTACTGTAGCTGGTTTTATTGCCGCTATTAGTTACTCATACATATTTGATACTTCTCCTTTTCTCCTATTTGAGGTATATACAAAGGTATTGTTTCTTTTCTAACTAGAACTGGTTTGAAGAGTTTGTGCCATTCTTAAACAATGCCATTTGCAACATTTTCCCTCTAGTCATCTGTTGGGCTATTAACAAGTCTGGCCTGCCCTTTCTTTTGCACGAAAGAATTAGCATTTTTAACAATTAGGCTCTTAAATTGCTGCTTGCAGTCAGTTACAGACGAATTAAATATCAATGCAGTATATTCATTTCTCTCTGCAACCAGCAACACCTTCGTTCTTACAGTGGGGTTTGTTTGAGTCAGGGGTCTGTGAATTTAAATTGGATAAGACGTTTGAGATGTCTTCAATTATATCATTGCTTTCTGTTAAAAAAGGCACTATCACCAGAAAGTAGTATCCTTGCTTGTTACTGTTTTTTTTATCAATATTAAGTGTTTACCTAAGCATAGATATTCTGTAAGGAGTGAGGGGGAGAAGGAGATATTTTGGCATATTTGTTAGACGTCAATGCTGCTGATCACATTGGAAAACATAGCTGCCTGTTTGCTAGTATAGATGTACATTGTCAGTTTTTTTGTTTTTAATTTAATGTTGCTCAGTCCTTTGAAAAAGATCTTCCTTTCTTGAACTTCACACCCTAACCTGATGATTAACTGTACAGCTCTGAAAGGTTCTGTATATCCGTCTCCCTTATTTTTTTTTCAAACCTCAAGAGTCTGCTTGCTTTTCAGCAGGAGCTGTTGCTGTGACCCATGAATGTAACTCATTACAGTCTACAGTCTGTACAGAAATATACAGGCATTGAATTTGGCACTTGGTTAAAAGCATGCCTTTGACATTCTTGTTGTGACTCAAACTTCGTAGTAGATAGCTCCCAGTCCCTGGGCCCTTGGCTTGAAACAAAACCACTTGGTGACATTTTGACAAAGCTGCTGTAGTAACCTTTGCCTCTCGCTGCCTGTTGTGCATGGTAGGCTGATGTCAAACTTACAATAACGGGCACTTTGCAATTGACCTTGACAACAGAGCTTGCACTTTAAGGCTGGCTAGGATACAGAACCTTAGTGTTTCACTTCTCCCTTTTTCTTAAAGAGGTGGCTTCAGCTGTTGGGAGTTTCTTAACCTAGAGTGCAATACGTACTTGATCTTGCTTGAGAACAGCTTCCCTAGACAGACATCCTTATTTATTAAGTATGGTTCTCTTAAAACGCTTTTCTTAACTGAATATATTGAAGTGAAGACCATTACTCATGGTGTTTAACTCCTATGGTGTTCATTGATAGACCACCCTTGCATACTTGATTTGATTTTATTCTAGTCTTGGAGGAAGTTATTTTTTTTATGGATGTCATTCTTTCTGAAGCCAATCTTTTGTTGTTGCATCATTCCCAAGTCCCTTGTCTCCATTAAAATCCTGATGCAAATCTTTCCAAGTGTAGGCAAGCTTATGGAAAACTTCTCAGTCTCGGAATTTCAATGCTTGGTGTACATTATTCCAACCAAGTGGAGTATGTGCCTGTACTTTTGCATATCGTTTTGGTTGTCCAAATTCAATGACTTCCTCCTGTAAGAACAGGAGGCCAACTACTCAGTGCTGGTACTGTGAATTAAATTATTTACAACAAAACTCCCAGTAACTACAAAACAGCCAAAATGCAGCAATCTTGGCTCTTGTCCCGAATGGTTGCAGGGGTGATAATGTGATGGCAATATTTTGCATGTATCCCCAAGACCAATTTCAAATCACGTGCAGTTGGCGGAAATGGATCCGAAACTCTTTCCTTGGCATTTTGATCTTTTTCAGGTTTTTGACACTAGCTGTCTTGTATAAGCCAAAGCATTTTTCTACGCTCATCAAGCTGGTTTCCTTAATTTTGGTCCCTTTCTACCCCTAAATAATATTATTTTGCCATTGCTTCATTGCAATTTGTGCAAGTTTGTTTGTTTGGCCAGAAATGCAAACTGCATTCAAGTAGGTTTCTCCTTCTTGCAGGCTTAGTTTTGAGTCTCCATTAAAAGCCACTAGTTAAAGGTGGTAGCTTTTTCCTGCTGCCATTAGTTTTATAAATGGGGGATAAAGCATTTTCAGCACGTGCTGCATAGACCTGCCCCCTCTGATCCACTATCACAGCTGCTTCCCCTCCTCAGCAGATGCTAATGAAAAGCAGGGGCTCTTGGTGTTGGGCCACAGCAGGTATCTGCTCACAGGGGATTTGCCATGGTATTTGGTAACACTGTTTCAGCCTTTTGTAATATTTAGCATTTGATGGAATGCCTATTGTGACAAGCAAATGGATAAATACTGTGACCCCCCCTCCCCTCACAACACACACAAACATTCCTGATAAGATCTGGGCTAATGTTTAAACCTAAGTTTGTATTCTAAATTATTTTCCGTTATGAAAAGCAATTATCTCCAGTGATTTCCTAGTTTATTAATGCATATATTTTCATATAATGAATAATGATCACTTACTATTAATGGTGACTTCCCAATTTCCAATAGAAACAAACTGACTTCACCTTTGCTTATCTGTAATGTCTTCCCATCATCTCATTGGTTATCAGTTTATCCCTAGCAGATGGTGACAATGTTGGAATGTATTGGAAGTTGAAATTAACTAGTGGAAAACAAATGTTTTTACAGTTTTCAGGTAATTGGAGCTAATTGTAAAAAAAAAAATTAACTGCAAATCGCCTTTTTCTACTTTCTTGGCTAATTTCCATTTTTATAAACGCTCTCTACTTTTTAAAAAGCACCTCAGAGATATGGTCTCCCTGAGTGCAGATTCTTTAGTTGTGTGTCACTGTTCCCTGCTGGGAAACACTGCATTCCCTCCATTTATTGGATTATGAGCTGCTTGGAGATTACATTCCTGGAATTCTGAGTTTGGAGGACAAGAAAACAATGGAGATACCTCAATGGTTCATTTATTATTTGGATTTGTGTTTCAGGTCATCTGAATCCAAAAGGTTTTTGTAACCTGAAATTTTCAAGTTAAAAAAAAAAAGAGCTACCCTGATTTTTCTTCTGCGTAAGGGCTATACTGTGTTTGGTTAAGGATTTTAAGATTACACATTGTTAGATTTATTTATCAGTTACCTCTTAAAATGTAGTAAACGTGTGAAAAAAATTTTAAAAGCTCAGCTGGGGGTTCCTGTACAGCACTAATAGCTAGCACTGCTTAACCCAAGTCCTTTTCTAGACTTGGGTGGTTTGCTGTGAATCTGCATCTTCTTCCTGTGTCTATATGGTGCTTTCTCTGGGTACTGTGGCTTTGTGTCACCTCCCAAAGATACTCTGGAGGTTAATTTGTAGTGTGCCATTGGGAACAAGAGTTAAGCCTCCTTTTTCATTAAACTTGGCTGTTGCCCTGTCATGAGTAGCTTTCCCTCACCACTGACCCTAAATTAGTTGGGTTAAAGTTCTGATGAACAAGCTGGGGGTCCCATTGTTTCTGTCTGCAACTCCATTGGTGTCTAGATGTGTGAGCATCCTCCTGTCGGTGGTATCTTGTTTCCCTTCCTTCACCTCAAACAACAGTATATGGCTGTGTTTTGCACAAAACATTTGTTTTGCTAAAATGAAATATAAATGTATTTCATTAGATAAAATTGGTTACGGTAAGGCTATTTTTTTATGTGACCAGTTAGATTAACCTAACATTGGGGAATGCACTTTGTATAAGTGATGACAAGCATCCCCTCTTTGGGTTTTTGCTCTTCACTTCTCTGTGGATTGACTGTTAGTCTGTAGATTAGTGGAGCAGTCTCACTTTCCCTATCAAACTGGAAAAGCTGTGGTGTTAACCAGTGCTTGTAAGAATGTTTTCTCTCAAGCATTGGGCTGGCGGGGGCCATTTCTCTGATTTCGTACTTTGTGTAGATTGTGAATGTTAGCCTGTGTTTTTGTTTTTTCACTCAGCTGGTTTTTTTTTTCCTCCGTGAATAATCTGGCAGTATTGTTGTACTTGAATATGATCATACAGGGGACCAGCTGTAGTTCTGGAGATCTGGTGTGTATGCAAGTTCTTGTGGCCTCTTTAAAGCACTAGTATCCGAGGAGCCGAGAGGATTTGGTAAAGTGAAAACCTATAGCCACCTCACTGGTGCATCCTGCGTTAATGCATTCAAAACTGGCAGTTGATCCCATTTTGCTTTGAAAGTTCAAGATAGCAGGTCAATTCAAGGTTATTTTTTAATTTTCTGTGATCTTGGCAGGAAAGAGATTTGTTAAATGGAAAATGGCTTGTAGACACTTTAGTCTGCAGATCTAACATTTCTATTTGATGTATTGGATAGGCTAAACATTGTAGTTTTGAACACACCATTTCATAATGGATCCGCATCACATTCTGTATGTCTTCTACTTAACTTGACGTATTTCAGTTAGTGGCGAGAACTGGGATTTGTAATAAATTAAACCGACCATATTTTGTATTGTAAAAAACATTAACACATTAATATCTGTGAATGAAAACTGGCTATTTTGGGAGTGTCTCTAGATTTTCTGAATTGTGACGAGAATGCATTTAGTTGCCTTAAATGAAACAATCCCCATTGTAATGTTGTGATTGTAAGACTAGATTGGTTAATATTCCAGTGAGAGAAAGTGAAATACTTCTATTTTCAAATGTTCTTGCTCTTTTAAATGGCCAGTCTTGAAATTTGTTTGGGTTCCACTTGTGTTGCTTCTCAGAGTGGAGTAAGTAGAGGGTTTGATCTATCTCCTGCAACACTTTGTGCAATTTGTTCCGAAACATTCAATTTATCCAGTGGAAACTGCAGTATTATAAAAACGAACTATTTTTAATTTAACCAGGCTCATGTCTTCTGTAGCTTTTGTATACAGCTTTCTTAAAGAATATGACCTCGAAATGTATGCCTAAATATTGAAGTTAATTTAATTGACTACTCAAGCTGTCTGAAACAAAGACAATACTGCCAAGAACAGGGAACTCGGCCCTCAAATACCAGGATCCTGCACGATTTAGAGGTACCTGCTCAAGAGCTGGAAAATATTGGACATTTTCTGTAGTTAAGTCATGAACATTTTCAGATGAGAGAAAAGCACCAGATCATCGAGTGCTGCACTTGTTTCTGGTTGTCAACCCCTGTGCTAGGATTCCCCCCAATCCCAAGACGGTTCTTTGAGCTACTTGTTGATCAGTGTGATACATTTAATACCTTGATTTAAAGTGTTTAGCCTCAGTCTTTTTTTTCCTTTTTAGGGGCTCTGCATGAAGGCCCAACTGAAGACGAAGGGACTGAGGCGAAGAGAAAAAGGATTGAAGAGACCTGTGTATGTGACAAGTGCTGCGCGGAGTTCTTTGACCAGTCCGAGTTCCTGGAGCATCAGAAAAATTGCACTAAAAGCCAGCAGGTGGTCATTATGAAAGATGGCGACGGAGGGGTAGTTCCCGACTTTTCACAAGGCTCACATGAGAGTTTCCACACTGAAAACCCGGAAGGCCTGTCCCCTGGTGACCCACAGTTAAAATCCCAACTTGGGGCAGCAGAGAGCATGGAGGAAGAGACGGAAATGAACCATGAGGAGCCCCCAAAACGAGAGGCACCGGAAAACCCTTCTGTTTCCTATTTGCCAGCCCCCAAAATGCAAAACACTAATGTTACATTGGAGACTATGCCCAGCACTAAAGTGGCTGTGACTCAGCATTCATCTGATTTGCCTGGTAAAACCTCTCAGCCGCTAGCCAGCTTAAACGCCATCCCTATGATTCTTGAGCAGCTGGTGAGTTTGCAGCAGCAGCAGCTTCAGCAAATCCAGCTAACTGAGCAAATTCGGATCCAGGTGGCCATGATGGCTCCTCATGGCCTTCCGTCTGCTGTTGGCGCGGCTGTAGACCCCTTGAAAGCCCTGGGAGCTCATTTGTCGCAACAGCTTTCTGCTGCTGCTGCCTTGATTGGGAAGAGAACTGGTTCACAAAGCCTTTCTATTGAAAGCCTGAAGCAAGGAAAGCTACCTCATTCCCACAACATTCCTGCATCTCTCTCAGGAATTGGAGGAATGGTGCCCCCTAAGCCAGATGGTTCTAAGGGTCACCCCAATTTAGTTTCCCGGCTTCCGACTCTGTTGCCTCAATCTCCTGGAACCTTGGCTTTCCAGCACCCCTTCTCTGCCCTTTCAGCTGGTCTGGATCCCCTGAAAAAAGGGAAAGGCAAGCCACCCAACATTACCATTGAACCAAAGACTGGGTCGGAGGAGCCTCTGTTTAAGCACAAGTGCAAGTTCTGTGGAAAAGTCTTTGGAAACGACAGCGCTCTTCAGATCCATTTGCGCTCTCACACTGGGGAAAGGCCTTACAAATGCAATATATGTGGAAACCGGTTTACAACCAAAGGAAATCTCAAGGTGCATTTCCAGAGGCACAAAGACAAGTATCCACACATCCGGATGAACCCTCACCCTGTGCCAGAGCACCTTGACAACATTCCCACCAGCAGTGGGATTCCTTATGGAATGTCTATGGTTCCAGATGAGTCCAACTTTGTAGACAGCAAGCCGGTGCTAGGACTGGCCTCTGCCTCTGGTTTTCACCCACCTGTGCTGCAGAATTTCAAACCTTCCCAGGACAGTAGCGAACAATATTCCCAGAGACCGTCGTCTTCAGGAAGCGACGGCACATCCATTTCCTCTAGCATGTTCAACCAGGACACGGGTTCAGACCAGAACATGGAATCCCCAGAAGGCCTGGGCTGCCTGCCCCATGTGAATGGCACTGCTCCGAGTGAGCAGAGCTCCGGAACCGCAAAGCTTCAGCAGATGGTGGAGAGCCTCGAGAAGAAGACCGATGACCCAAATGAGTGCGTAATCTGCCACCGTGTGCTGAGCTGCCAGAGTTCGCTGAAAATGCATTACCGCACTCACACTGGGGAGAGGCCTTACAAGTGTAAAATCTGTGGGCGGGCGTTTTCTACCAAGGGCAACCTGAAGGCCCATTATGGTGTCCACAGGGCTAACACACCTCTGAAGATGCAACACTCGTGTCCCATCTGCCAGAAGAAGTTCACCAATGCTGTGGTTCTACAGCAGCACATCCGCATGCACATGGGAGGCCAGATTCCCAACACTCCACTGCCGGATAATTCTTTCGAAGGGTCTGAGATGGACTCTCCCCTTCTAGACGACAAGGCTGTTGAACTGAACAGCTTTAACGAAGAGAGCCTGGATGAGCCAGAGGTGGAGCAGGAGACGCAGGAAGCTGCCAGCGACGTCCCGAAAGCCCTGCCTCCCCCTCCTGCTGTGAAAGAAGAGCAAACTGACTCTCCACTGCCATTGTTCTCCAGCATTGCTGCTTTGGAGAATCACATGAAAAATGTCGCCTCTTCTTTGAACTTGCAGCGGCAGACCAGCGTCATCTCGGAAGGTGACGGTACACTAAGCGACTTGCCTGCCATGCCCAGGGACCAGGATTATCAAAATGGCAGGAGCCCAACTGTCTCGGATTCCGTCTCTTTCCTGTCGGCATCACCAGTGGACAGCCAGGTGGGAAGCAACCAGTCCAAGTCTCCAGACTCTGCTATCCCCGAAGACGGCAGTAGGGTGGCATCCAGAACAGAGTCCGATAGTGGTTCTCTTGATCCTGAACCCAATGGTGCTCTGGATCTGACGTCTGCCACTTTTGTTCCCAAAGCAATCAAGGAAGAGCCTGGTCTGTCTATTTCAAATGGTGACTATGGTAAGTCTTCCATAGGTTCATCTGTGCATGCATTTGAGTACACTTTGCTAAAGGGGGGACCCAGGAATGGCAATTCAATTTGATTTCATGCTCAGACACCTAATTAATGAGAATATCAGCCCCATAGTTGAGAATTAGCAGCAACAAACATCAAGTAGTAAAATAGAATGGAGGTGTTCAGCTTGTACCCTAGGTTTAACAATTCTTCAGTGTAATCAATCACTTTCTGCCATAAACCAAGTACTTAATGTTATTTAACTTTTATCAAAGACCAGTGCTACTCAGAGGGATGGGAGAGTTCCATCATGCCTTAAATGGTTAGAACTGGGACCTGATTAATTTATCATGAGTTTAGCGTATTTAAAAATCATTTGGCATACGTGATGATCTCTTCCTTTGCCATGTTTTTTTTTTTACTTTTGTTTTTTTCATTACACCACAGTAGTACTTAAATAACCTTTCAATCAGGATCTTTGTTCTTATTGCTAAAATATGCTGGAAATGTAGATAGTTATTTTTCTTTCATTCACCCAATCGCACTCCTGAGCTGTGTTTTGAGTTTTTCTCTTTGTTTTGTTCTTGCCATTAGGTGCTAGCCATATGCAGTTCATGAGAGTTCCTCCGAGTCTCGTTAAACTGGAGATGCAGATTCCACCGGAGCGTGGTGTGGGCTGCCCGAGCCAGTTTGTCTCTCAGGTACCCATGGGGTCAGGGCTGCACCTCCCTGGTTCTGCCCCTCCACGCCGCTCTGCCAAACAGCACCTGTGTAACACCTGTGGAAAGAACTTCTCCTCTGCCAGCGCCCTGCAAATTCATGAGCGTACTCACACTGGGGAGAAGCCGTTTGCTTGCACCATCTGTGGGAGAGCCTTCACCACCAAGGGCAACCTTAAGGTAAGGAACTATTATCTCCAGTCTGTGCAGGGTATATTGAGGGTGCTGATCTCCTATACCCTTTCCCCATGACCACAAACCTTAAAAAATAAGGATTGCAGTGCCTTGTCTGTGGATGGATGACAACAGGTTTGGAAAACAATGGGTTTGATTAGTGTTTTGTGGAATTCATAATTTTGCATAACCAGCAGCGGAAGGTTTGAATTCGCAAAAACCTAGTTCACTTACAGAGAACTTGGTTCCGTGTTAACATTGTTTTCAGTTTAGACTTCATCTGTCTAATACCAGGAAAATTCAATAAATCTTGAACTAATTTGAAAATGAATTTTAAGTTTGTGCGCTTCCAGCTTCATACCAATTTTACACCTTATACACATACCTTACAAACTTCTTCTTTCTTGCCAAGCAGAAACTATAAGGATTTTTCATAAGGGATGATGCATACTGTGCTTTTCATTCATAATTGTGCAAGTTAAAAGAACACTTCTATATGCATCTATTGTATTTCCAGAGAAATAAAGTGTAGGGAGATTCAACCAAAGGCAATTTTTACTTTTACCTTAATTTGCTAAGGATGTTGGTCTTTCTATCGGAAATAATTATTCCTTACTCATTAATGATGAGAAGCGTAAAACAACAACAACAATACATTTTGTAGAACGAGTGATGCAGTTAAATTCTGCATTAATAACTCAGTCTGCTCGCACGAACACATCACTCAGTTTGGTTTTGGTGTGATTTGTTTCCAAGGAAACAAGTGCATTTGGGTTTCAAATTGCAAAACATTTGACAAGGACCTAAGCTTTAAACCTTTGGAAGTGATCTTAGTTTGCTATACACTCCAATTCTCTAGTTTGACGACGCTGCTCTTTCACAAATAATCCCAAATAAGCCTTTCTGTGCTTCAGCTGCTTTTCTTACTAGGAATTATTAGTACTGGAATTGACTTCTGCACCAGGAATGAGCACTTCCACTCCTTGAGGGACATGTGGTGCTCTCGTTTCTATTCTACCTCTGATTACTAGTTAATGCAACATAACCTGCCCTTTAAGGTAATAGTCAGGTAGTAATAAAAAACGGCCAAGCACCGTCCATTTATCCTTTATACTGTATACCTTTTGTATTGAGGTTGCCTTTCAGTTTAGTTTTTTTTTCCTTTGGCTATGCTGTGAGGGTAGTCTGAATTGATAATGAAATGCTTGATGCTGCTGTGGTACCATATGGACATGCTGATCAAGCTTGAGATTCAGCGTGGTGTCTCACTGCTTTGTGCTCCTCTCAACAGGTCCATGTTGGAACTCACATGTGGAATAACTCCGCCAGGCGGGGTAGGCGTCTGTCTCTGGATAACCCCATGGCGCTGATGGGTCCAGGAGCCGAACCCAAAATGGGGTCCGAGATGGTACCTCCAACCAAAGATTTGGCTCCTCCACCAATCAACATTGATCCATCTGTGTGGAACCAATATGCTGCTGTGTTTACAAATGGGTTAGCGATGAAAAACAATGAGATTTCCGTGATCCAAAATGGAGGCATTCCACTGCCGGGTAGTCTTGCTGGGGGCCCCCTCGTCGGCTCAGGTGGTGGCTTGTTGAAGATGGATGGAACTCAGTCAGGCCTCCCAGCCACGGTAGCTGAAATCAACAAGAATGGAGCAGACAGTGTGCCGAAACAACACCAGTTTCCCCATTTCATGGAGGAAAGCAAAATTGCAGTGAATTAAAATCGACCCAGACGAGGAGCAGATATTTTTAGTCACAGGTCTTTTTTTGCTGTTTCCTTTTTACGGATATGACGACAAAACCTCGTATTTTCCTACTGAAGTGTATAAAGGTTTTTATGGTAGCTATGTTTCTATTGAACATTTGCTCATTAATGAGTACAATCACTTTTTGTTTTATTTTTGCTTTGCGAAATTTTGGGATTTTTTTTTCTCCACTTGCTGAACAAAAATTGCGGGTCCTGCAAGCCATATTTACCTTTTTTTAAATAACTTGGAAGTGTACAGCCTTAAAATATTCCCTCCCTTTTCACCCAAAATTTTGAACAGTTTACCTCTGTTAAGTCTTAGTGTTTGTGTAGAACTTGAAACAAACTACTGTAGAGATCTTTTGATTTATATTGTTTGTATGTTTAAGATATGCGGGTAACTTTCATAAGACTGCCATCCTTTTAGACTTTCTGTCCCAGATGTTGAATGTATTTCTTACTTGAAAAGTTTTTGACTTTACAATAGGTCTCTCTACTTAAAATGACCTGCAGTTTTTCAGTAATTTCTGAAAGATTTAGACTCTTAATACCATTAACTGGATTTGTAAATGTACATTTTCTAAGATCCATTATTGGAGGTGGATTTGAACGTGTGTCTCGTCTTTGGGGAAATAAGGCTTTTTTGTGATTTCTTGGCTTTCTTACCTATAAAGGGACACAAAGGAAAATTCTGGAAGTCTTCATTATACCAGTTTTACAAATGGCTTTGAAACTTGTCCCAAACCATGTTCATACATTTGTGAAAAAGTGGTGATTGCATGTCAAAGGAGTAGGTATTTGACCTGGTTGTGTCTTTGGCTTTGTTTTGGAAGATGTGTGTAGTGAAACTGTTTAAAATGTCTGGGTATTTTTTTCAAAATTGCTGATAAAATGGGCTAGTTGATGTTATACTAGATCTGAGAGCCAATTCTAACTTCAAGTGCCTGACCTTAACTCTAAATTGAGAGTACTGAACAAAAGTCATACAATTTTACCCTTGCAGTTTTCTGTACTTTCGAAGATGGTATGTATACGTAGATACCTAGTTTATGAGAGGTGTGGGATTAGTGGCATTTTTCCCCATCTGGTTTTTAGGCAAAGCAGTCCTAGGCTGGAGAATTTGAGAAGAAAGAAATAAATATGTATTTGTTCTGAAATATTTAAAGACCTCCAGAATTGTCTTGTTTCTAAATGTTTCCTTTTCCTTTCTGTCCTTCTATTTCTGATCTGAAGCCTTTTGGATTAGCCTAAAAGCCGTTGCAACACTGACTACTTACATCCCTCCTTGCACTTTAAATTTGCTTGCTTTTTATGCATCTTCTGCTGAGGTTTCAGAGTTTTTTTTTTTTAATTCCAGTGATTCCTCTGTTCTATATCACACAAAGCAGATTTCACTGGAGTGGAGAGGTAACTTGCAATTCAATGGGGAGAATGGATTTCTTGAATTTGCCATGGTGAGGGTCTGTTTGGATTACAATAATTCCTCTTTGCCCTTAAGGCAAATGGTGAAGAGTATACATTTACCATTTGTTCAGAAAGCTTCTCTTGATAAACACTATTTCTCTTGAAATGCTTGCATGAACTCCCCTCCCCCCCATCTTTCAAGGAGGAGCAATAAAGGCGAATTCATGCAGTTTGTTGTTCACTACAAATGAATCGTCCCAACTTTTTTGTTTCCCTCCACATTAGAAACTTTTAGAAATCCTTTTCCTCTTAAATGAAACCAAACCCGTTATAAAGGACTTTGTAAATAAGTGCTTTTTCAAGAGGCCAATTCTTCAAAAAGGAAAAAAAAAGTGGAATGCCCCTTCAACAAAAGAATAGAAACTGAATCCCTGGTCTTCAGAGAGCCCGAATACACCAGTCTGTTTTATTCCTTTTCTTTAAGGAGACCACTGTGTACTCCATGGGATTCTGGGGCCATGCTGAATATTCTTCTACCTCATTTCTGAATATTGTTTTTTTATTATTATTTTTGGAGTAGTTTTGTTTATAACTTGTATATTGAGCTTTTTTTTTTTTAGAGTGGATGCTCTGTATTGTCTTAATGTATAGGTATAATGTATTTTCTTGAACTGCTTTTGTGGTCTCTCCCTTTTACAAGTCGTTCTCACAACCTGCTGATATTTTGTATTGAATGTATTGCCAGATACTTTGCACGTCTCTTGCTCGGAACAAATCTGCATTGTGTGCATTTAATTCCCTTCCTCTGTAGGAAGCTTCACCCCAAGAAAACAAAACTAAGTTCAGTGTTACTGCATCTTGCCTCCTTATATATATATATTTGCCACATTGTGCCTTTTTAAAAACCTGTGCAGAAAGCTCATTGACAGGAGGTGTCATTCTTTTACATTAAAATGTTGATGTCCTGAAATGGATCTTCTGTTACTTTTTTATGAACTGGGGCCAGTTTTGGCATGTTTACAGTGTGGACTTCGTACATGTGGGCTGCGAAGGCTTTGTTTCTCTTTTTGAGTGTCTGCATACTGTTACTTTTCTGGTATTTTTTCAACAATAAAAACAGGATGGCTTTTCCAAATCCTATTTTCTGTTTCCAGTTTTATGTCCAATAAGATTGAAGAAATAATCCACATGACTTTTGAAAAAAGGTGGCCTACCCTTAACTCTGAAATTAGTTATGCATATAATTGTTCCCGGATCAAATTGACTCGAGGCTCAAGAGAGGTCTATCATACTGCACTTTATTTTGTGTGGCCCCTCTTAAAAGTTACATCTCAAAGAGCTTTACTGTAGGTGTAAAAAGTGGTTACAAGTGCAGCAGAATTAAGTAAAAGACTTTAAACAGAGGTTTTGAGTCTAGATTTAAATGCACGCAGGGTAGAGATTCTTGATTATCCCTGGGGATAGAAATCCAGAGTTTTGGGGCATAGTAAGAGCAGGCCATGTCACCCATACAATGAAAATGAGCTGGGGAATTGATAGAAGATCAGAATCAGATGAATGAAGGTTGTGAGATAGGCAGTAGACTGGTGAGTCAAGACCGGTACTGAGGTGACATTTAAAACCTCATAGGGGAGCATGAGGCTTTTTGAAGTCAACTCAAAATCTGATAGGAAGCCAGTGCAGGGAATCCACCACAAGTGTAATGTGATTTTTTTTTTGCGTGTGACCTGGTCAGGATTCTGGCTGCCGAATTCTAAACATATTGGAGTTTGTGTGGATTTAGATACCCCAGCAACTCAGGAGCTGCAGTAATCAGTGCTTGGGGAAAAAAGTGTTTACCAGCTCTTCAGTAACAGTCAAGGACAACATAGAATGCAGTCTGGCGATGTTCCTTAGATGGAAGAAGGATGTCTTTACAATATTCTGCACACAAGGGTGAAAAGTCAGGCCGGATCAAATATTGCCCCTAAATTCCTTAATTTTGATTAAAAAGCAAGCACAGTGATACCCACACAGCATGGGGGTTACTGCATTGGCGTAAGGTATGTGATGGGAGGTGTCGGTTTTTATTGAAGGAAATGTTGAGTCACTTAGATTTTTTATATCAGAGATACAATTAGAGAGTATTTCAGTGACAGCTATTTCAGTGTCAGATTTAGTATGGACATAGATTTGAGTATGGAGTCTTGAGTTCTGCTGATGGGTTTTACTTTTAATGATCACTAGTTTCACTTCTAGCCTTGTTTAATAAAGAGATGGAAATAGTCTTGAAATGTAAATGTACAGATGTAAGAAGAAAATGGAAATGTGCTGGAGCAACAGATTGATGCATACACTAATCATGTTTAGGGGCTTATTTAGTGCTGTTTTGACAGGCAAATTAACAAAAGGGGTGAAAAGGTTAAAATTATTTTTGTGCATCTGTTTTTACCAAAACATCAGCTGTCCTTTTTTGTCATGTTTCATTTGCCATAATATATAGAGGCATTTGAAAAGGACCATCAGAAAAATGTATTTTCTTGCAAAATATTTCTTGTCTCCAGAGAAACATTCCTACAATTGTTGATTAGTAATCTAATCTGTTTTTCATAACACCAACATAAGGTAAAAATGCTAAACAAAATTCTGAACCATTGCTTGCCTTCGAAGTTATAAATGAATGTACTAATCAATCATCTGGGCAATGGTACTTTTAAATACTATTACAATAGGGAGAGTGTAGTGTGGAACTGTATTGGAAATATATTTTAATTTTAATGCAAATTGTGTGTGTAATATACATGCAGAAACGGTTTGTTTTTGGAACCCTGATCCCTAGAAAATAGAAGAATTTTTAAAGCAGCTAATTCCATGTCGCTTTTCAGATGACATCTCTCTCTTTTTTATTTTACCATGCGTAATGCTGGATCTCAGGTTGGTCCTCTAAAATGCTGGAACCCATGCTAAACATCAAAATAAATTGATGATTTGTAACTGCAAGAAGTACACAAAGTTATCTGTAAAATGTCTTTAACATATAGCCATTGTTCAAAGCAGTCACAGGTATACATCTGTAACACGTGCTTTTTACCAGGTGACTGAAGCTGGCTTGTGGAATTCTGCCTCATCCTCTTCTACCTTCTGGTTCATTGGTTTCTGTGACCTGGATGGTCAACATCCCTGCTTCCCCATTGGGGCTCAAGTCTAGTGAATTAGGGACATCAGTGCCATAATTATCACATTTTCATCCTGTGACGGATATCTTCCTATTTAATGATACCAGTAAAGGACATTTTAAACTAACATCTGAAATCCTGCCTTCCATGCCTTCCAAACATCTGACTCTTGCAAATATCTGAAATGCTTTCCTGTCTTTATATAATATCTACCCAGATATGACACTGCAGTAGTTAATTTTAAACGGCTGTAAATATTCAGGTTGTATTTTGGGAGCCTGTATAATTACCACTGTTTTATTTTTGTGTCAGGACTATGTGTCCTTAAAATGAACAGCCACCTGAAATCTTTTATCAGAGAAACGCTAAAATCATCATGTTAGGGACAGACCTTGCAGGCCTTGTTCAGTTCTGTTGGGTCTTTGTGATGTACAGTAGTTCACTGTGGGAGATCCGTTAGTCATTCTGCTGTTCCACAGATTTGTAGTGCTTTCTGAGCATTTGCTGGGAGTCCTTCCCTGTGCTTATTCCTTCAAACTGCTTTATTGAATCCCGTAATTCGGCTCACTGGTTTGAATGACAATCCATCTGAAAGAAACCAGTTCAAGTCAGCAACTCACTTTATGATCATTACTCTGCACCTCAGTTTTTATTGCACAGGTCTCCACAGATCTTCTGTAAAGGTGTATTGGAATGTATGATGCACCACTCAACCACAGGTTGAACACTTTTGCAGTGATGAGAGATGATTTCATTTGATTAGAGCTACACCTACATACCTCCACATTTTGCTGTTTTGCTTCATGGTCTGAAAAATATAAAAAGTAGATCTATCTTGGGAGATGTGCAGATTTTCCAAAGCGGAATTTCTTAAATAAATATGTAGCTTTAGTATTCTGCTCACTCCAATCAGTTTTAAGTTTGATGAGGTTTACCGATGATATTTGATCTTTTTTAAGTGGTCACAGCTCTAGCTTGGCTTCCCCATTAGGATCATGTAATTGGTTCATTGTCTCTTTCCCTATTAGGCAAAGCAAATATTACCTTCCCACTGTAATGTAACCTGGCTATAGTCTCTATGGTGCCTTTAGATCATTGTAGTATTTGCATGTGGATAGCCATGCTTGTTTTACATGGATGAACTTGAGTTGCTGTTATTTGCATATTGCTTTTCAGCCACATACATTGAAATATATTTGATTCGTACCACACCGTTGAAAATCTGCAGATGTGCTCTTACTTTTTGCACACTGAACATTAATGGATTGCTGCATTTTAAATACATATATGCATTTCCAATGTATAAAATTCCAGTATCAGCACTGATAATACCTATTGTCCTGATTTGTGACAAGCTATTTGCAGTATGTCACATGCTCTACATTCAATTGTCTCATAGAAACTATAAAGAATATTAACTTGTAAAAAAAATAAAAGAAAAACATACAAATTAGATCATTTCAGAGTGCACCAAAACGAGACAGGAAGGTTTTTTATTAAAATCCGAACAGGATATCTGAGATTTATAAAGATTGCATGCTGATAAGACCAGAACTACTGCAGGACCATCATTATCAGAAATAAACAAGAGCTATTTGATTTGATCCAATTGGTGGGGCACTAATTTTAATAATAACATCTTATTTTTAGCCATCTTGTAATTTAGAAGCTCCTCTAGTAAAGGTATTGAAAGAATAAGTGATATGCTCTTTTATGTGTTTAGTATACATTAGAGAAAATATGATTTCATTTCCTCCTGAGTATATCCTTTCATTAACAATTATTTTTTATATTATTATATTTTAACAAATTAACTCAATGTTTTTAGACTATGTTGTGTGTCTGTATATTTGAAATTTGAAGCACTTAAACAGTGTTAAACTTTAGTGTATAAGTGAAACCAGTTCTCTTAAGCAACTAACAAACCATTCCAATTAAGGTTAAAGAAGACAGCGACAATATTCTCAGTTTAGGTAAACCAGCACCCAGATCTTGTCCATCCACCCATTTTCTAACCTTTTTTTTCCCCGTTGAGCATCTCAAGGGAGCCAGAGCCTATCCCAGCAAGCAACTGGAGCAAGGCCAGTCATTGCAGGGCAGACACACAAACACACACCAGGACCAATTTTCCCAAAAGTCATTTAGCCTTCCAGTACAATGTGTCTTTGGACTGTGTGAGAAAACCTGAGTATCTGGAAGAAACTACACAAACACAGGGAACCACACAGGTCTGGAAATGAACCCTGGCCCTCTGTGTTACAAGGCAGCAATGTTAACCACTGTACCACCATGCTAATCCTCAGATTTTATGCTGAATTTAGACTGATATTAAATATAGTTATGTATGAATTCTACTGAGATGACAAATGTTTAAAGATTTAGGAAAAAATCTGGAGCATTTCACTTTGAAAATGTACTTTAATGAGAATGATATTTTGTCTGAAATATTTTAAACTTATCTCTACTCAAAGGGTTGTGGGAGTCTGAAAAAAACTTATCCAGTTGTGTTGTTGAAGACAAGAAAAGAAAGAAGCCTTGGATCTATTAACTACTTCCTATCAAACAGACTAAATAGGCCACTGACCTGCATTTTCCTATGTCTAAGATTAACGTGAGTGTTTCCTTTTTTTTGTCCTTTAAACTGGTTAAGATTACATGGAGGGGCCAAACCAATATGTATCAAACTGCAAATACTGCAGTTAAACAATCATATTCAGACCTAAAGCTTCTCCAGCTACTCCAATTGAACAATTTCATGTGTGGAATTCAAAAAGCAACACGTGGATGTAGTCTATGTTGGACTATTTCGATTTATTGGAATAAAGGCTTTAGATATCTCTTGTAATGAACATGGGCCACGCCAGTTGGTTTACCATACACCCTGGTACTTTATGTTCAGTTTTGTGCATGTGTTGTAAAAAATTGTAGTTTGCATAGAATGAAATTCAGCTTTATCAACTGGGGAGATTATCATTTGAAAGAGTAAGGCTGAGGGAGGTCCTGTCCTCCTAATCAAGAGCAAAAGATCCCCATGGTACCAGTTTTGTGAGATCGGGTGTCACTGATAGATTCTTAAGCATGGTTAAGACGTTTTAAAGTAAGTTCAGTTTCTGCAAGCCTGATAATCTCATTTGAGAGAAAAAAGCTGTGCCTCATGCAGGAACTATTTGGCTAATCCACTAGCCTTTCACCTCTGAAGGTTCAAATTCGGCCCAGGTTACTAGGGGAATTAGCTTTTTGGTGGCCTCAACTTGGCCTCGAGTGGACATCACTTTGCATCACAAAGAGGCCGCATAATTCTCTGTACGTTTAGCCCTATCATCACGCCATTTTTTTTCTGAAAGGCACCTCAGAATGAAAAGCTTGGGATGGGAGGGCTTAGGTCACACTCTCAGGGTTGCTGTTCGATTAATCTATGATGGGAAAACTTCGGATGCACCTGCTGGTCCCAAACCGTAAAAACAGTTACTCGCCATGAATACTGAGCTTCCCTGTTCAAAGAAGAATAAAGACATTTCCCTCCTAAGCTTTGAAGGCAAAAAAGTAGAATCATTGTCATTGCATTGACTGTATGGAGAGACTTTTTAAAGTTATTTTGCAGATCATTTATCACTTTCTGTGAAGGTGGTGAAACCTGTGACAAACTAGCATCCTCTCCTAGGGCTGTCTTGTGCTTTAAGGTCCCTTAACACTACAGAGATAGTGGGACATTTTCTGGTCATATAAATTACACAGGCTGTTGAAAGGCGTTTTAACAGAACATTAAACAATATTCAGATGAACTATTTTGGGAAAGCCCTAGGCCTTTCGGAACTTCATGATTTTTAATCAGATATGTCTAATTATGTGGGGTTTTCATGTTGACAAATTAAGCAGTTGGTTTTGGCAAACACCGGTATCTCTGAACACTTCCTGCCTCTTCAGACCTAATGTTAGGTGTGAATCAATGTATTCATGGCTCTGCTTAAGTAAAACTAGGTCATCTCTTACCTCATCTAGGTCAGTTTGGTTGAAGTTTAATGTATGGCACGGAAGGTCTTATCTCCTAAAGAGGTTTTCTATATGAGCTGGGCAGTCAGCATTTTAATTTGAAGAAGAACCTTGTCAATATTAAATATATAATTTGCTGTACATCAAGGTGATCTTCAAACACAAGTGTCCGACTCATGTTGTTAGTTTATACATAATGTCAGAATATTACAATTGTCTTATAATAGTACTACACTAGGACTATTTGTTTTTGTCATAATGATCTGCAGGCTTGCATCCCTACCATGAACGTCTTTTGAATTTAGCAAATGAACTTAGCGTTCCTCTTAGGTGTACTCCTGGAAAATATCACTCTCCATCCATCCATATTCTGTCTGTGTCTTCCAATTCAGGATCACAGTGGAGCTGGAGTCTACCCTGGCAAGCAACGGGCGCAAGGCAGGGCACGCCCTGGACTGGACACACAAGTCAAGCGAGACACAAACACACATGCTCACAGCAGGGCCAGTTTTCCCAGAAGTCAATTAAACTACCAGCATGTTGTTGGATGGTGGGAGGAAACTGGCTCACCTGGAGGAAACCTATGTAAACACAGGGAGAACACACAAACTCCACACAGACAGCACCACAGGAACTGAAACCAGGGCCCTGGCTGGAAGGCAGCATTGCTAGACACTGTGCCACTGTGCCTCCCAAAATATTACTTGAGATTTCTTATCCTGTAATCTTCCAGAATATATCAACATTTTATACCCACAACAAAAAAAAGGTAGCTCATACATCTGGCATAAAACAGAACATCATCTCATCTTTACTTCTCACTTATTTCCATTCTCACTCCTTTAACAATTTATAGGGGAAGAGTTGAACAGTCAGAACATAAGAGTTCTTCTCCACTCAAGGTACTCATTAGCAGTTTACTGATTTGAATATTCCAAATTAGGATGTGAAAACGGAAGGACGCAACAGACACCTTGCCTGTTGTTGCTGCTTAGAGACCATGTTGAGTACAGCATATTGAAACAACCAAGTCCCAATAATTCAGGTGCAAGTTTGAAAAAGAACTTTCAGTTCTGTGGAAAAGAAACTAGCTTCCAGATACATCTATCTGGTTGATCAGATTTAGACGGTTTTTTCAGACGCTTTCTTTTACCTGGGAAAATTATTTTTTCACGAGAAATTATATTCTTATCAGATACGACTCTGAAGAATTATACAGATCACACGTAACACGGTGTGAAACAATTAAGAATTTCTCCCTTTGTGCGGGCTTCCTGTACAATTGTTCCTTATGACATCGTTGAGGAAAACTACCAGTACCAAGGAGGCGGATGAGAATGAAAACTTCGTCTTGATTTAACTTAAGTGACAGATGGAATGAAATCATATATCTGCACGTTTTCCGACTTTATATTCAGGATGGTATTTACAAGGCTGTTAATCTTTTCAGATTAAAGTCAATGACGCTAAGAAACATCTCTTCAAACTTCATTTTAGCAATGCCGAAGAACTGCTGTATTGATTTTGACGATTATCTTGTTAATTTTTCATTGTTTCCACGATGTGTTTCCACCCACTGTTACAAAACATGCAGAGCGTTTGTAAAACATCACACGGTTAAGATGTAGCATTAATCAAAAACAAAAACAAAAAACAACTTTTCAGAGAAAATTCAAGTGCAACCGAGGAAGGATGGGACTAACAAATAAAAGCAGTGCTTATGTCGTAGATAACTCAAATTTAAGCCTTTTTATTTTTTGATTTGAACATTTTACAGCCAATCGCCTAATCTTTAGTGTATGTTTAAACCTAAAAAACTCCAGATTTAGAGTTATTCAGGGATAAAGGGGGGTTCCCTTAGATAGGAAAGGGTGAAGACTGCCTGTAAAATGGATTACACCTGCATCTCCCCTCGGTTGCCCTGTCCCTGCTCAGTCAGAAAGAGCAGGCGATGTAGTGAGCGCGTCCGCCTGTGAGCCTGCTTGCTAAACCACACAGCCTCCGCCCAGCTTGCAGGGAAGCAGGAATTTTACCGACACTATTAGGGGGCTTTAGAAATGACGGATAATATCCCATTGCAACCTGTCCGGCACAAAAAGAGACACGATAATAGGCACCGGAACGGGTAAGGTCTTAAATGCTGTTTTGAATAAATGGTGAATAAATGGTTGTGGAAAATTAACGTGAATTTGTAAAAAGGGTTGCTGTTCAGTGCTTTCTTAGTGCATTTCTCGCTCTGTTCCCGGCGTGATTATGTGTTTCCTACACGAATGGGGGTTATTTCGCTAATGTTCGGTGGTTTTATGTGTGTGGAAGAGATCTGATCCAAGATCTGTGTGTCGCTTTTACCGAGACAATCTTCAGCCTCCGCGTAGGGGCACAGGTATCCTGGTTCCGGGTACGCTGTGTTAATAATGACAACCACGTAACTAGCCTTTCCCCACCGTATCAAATATTTGAATATTGTCGATCGGCGGAATTGGGGAGACCTGCCTCGTCCCGGATTTCACCATTTGCTTTGTTTAACTGCAGCGGAGATCAGTCTACAGGCCTTTTTCGTACCCCTCAGTGAAAGCATTTGTTTTGTATTGCAAATGAGCTCTTCAGGCATTTACCACATTAGTGGCTACCGGGTTTATATTTTTAAACCTCGTCAGCTGCCTTAAAAATACACGCGATCATATACAATGCTTTTAAACATGGCCTGTTGATGATTTGAGTGTTTTTTTTTCCATTCGTGGTTCGTTTGACTAGTTTTCGGTTGCTGAATATATGATAACAGGTCCTTGATCTGATCGTTGATATAAGGCTCTATGAATAATAAACAGGGTTTGCTTTCTTTCTACCGTACTTGATACAGGGCCGGGGTTTCCTGTACTAATATTAGGCGAAGCAATCTCAGATCTATGCATGTGAACCTAGCACTGTTGGGTAAAAAGGCAAAGAGGACTGCCAAAGGCTTGGACGCCAGTTTCCTAGCAGGGAAGGGAATGTGAAGGCCTTGCAGGGGCTTGAAAACGGGGAGTTCTCTGGTCTTTTGTTGTTGGTTTTTTTATTGCTGGCAAATAAATAATTTTTTTATACTGTAAGAACTCCGATTTAATTTCTTCTCCATTTTAAATGGAATCAACTATTGGCCACATAGCACAACCTTTGAAATGATCATTATTTCTAATGGTTTCACTCAGAATACCAATATATAATGGGCAACTGAACATTCAGACTAGAGGCAGCCATTGAGCCCATGTAACCTTTCTGGATGGCTTGCAGTTACCTGAATTGAGGTCTCAACTACCTGTTTCTTGAAGGACCCTGTGTCATCTGCTTTCATTGACACCCACACCCCTTTGTGGAAAGAAATTCTCTCCTGTTCTCTGTCCTACGTGCAGTTCTTCTGTGAAGGATGTGTTATGGGAATTAAACCAGTAAACGTAAAAAAAGAAGGTAATACATTTGTGCAATTGAGGGGTATAACCGGAAGAAATAGATTGGGGGCAGATGTTGGTTTTTATGTTTTATTACAACATGATTTAATTGCTGCTGAATATTTTTGACCTCTGGGATTACATAGAGACTTTTCTGTGCTAGATGATTTCAATATTATAGCATTTTTCTCGCTCTACACCCACAGCAGAGTACCAAATACTGAAGAACTTAAACAGTAAACTTAAGGCCTTACGATGAGTTTGCAGAAAATGGATTCCTATGTCTGGAAATGTTTCCTAATGAGATGGAAAGTTATTGAATGGGCTTCAGCTTCTTCTTTACATCATTATTATTGCAAGATTTTTACAATGTTCAATGATTCCGAGTCTGAAACCACATGTGATATTGGATTCTGTAAGGCTGAATGTTTTAAGGTTTTTTCAATTTAAATATTAAATATTGCTTTTAGGTGGCACAGTAGTTAGCATTGCTGCCTTACAGCGCTGGACCCCTGGGTTCAATTCTGGACTTGGGTTGCCATCTTTGTGGGGTTTGTATGTTGTCCCTGTGTTCATGTTTTCTCCCACAGTCCAAAGATATATTGGTATGTTAACTGGCTTCTGGAAAAATTGTGTGTTATATTAAATTCTAAATCCTAACTTGAATAATGTTATCCTTTTATTTATATAGATTTAGGCGTGTTTTAATTTGCTTAAAATAGTCAATTTCTCAATATTATCCACCTAACGTGTGACAGTTTTGTGCATTTAGAAGAATGATGGAAATACTGGAATGTGTTTTTCTAACTTTGGATAATCACTGCAGATATCGTGTAATAATAGCGTAAGGGTAGCTCTCCCTTATTAAGAGCTTGCTGGATCCATGTTTCACGTGACTGGCCAAAAAAACTACATTTGACAGCCAGGGATGCAGAAATATCTTTTGTACCACTTATAATATTAGATAGACAGAGATAGGTCTGTAATGTATCCTGTATGACTATTTAGATAGACCATGGTCACCTGATGCTCTACTGCATATGGTTTATCACTGGTGTCTCTGATGTGGACCCTCTGATGTTAATGTTGATGTCTGATGTTGTCTGCATGCACAGTGCTCGTGTTTGCCCATGGAAACAACTTGGAAAATCATTCCCTGGGCAGCAGTTTTTTTTTTCTGAGATGAGCACATCCTAGACACAGGATGTGAGCTTGACAAGGGACTCTGTGCAAATGGGTTGTGAAGTTTGTGTTCCTGCATTCCAGAGGCAACTTCTGAGGTCAGGGGTGTAAACGGTAAACATCCACTCACTCAGACAGAAGTCACAAAGGAGGCTGGATGAAATCGTTGGAGACCAGTGTGCTGCTGTAGTTTGCTGGCGCTGTGCTATGCATTACTGTGATACTGGATGATGATTATTGGAGGTGGTATTCTTGTTGAAATGCATACAGTATTGTCTGAAATGACAGTGCACGGGCCATTCTGTCATCTACTGCCTGTGTGGGGACTGTCCTACAGTATATGGAAATTCTTCTCACTATTCATATTAAACGTGATGTGATACCGAGAAAAAGTCATAAGCATCATACTAAATTAATAGATGTGCGTAATGCATATACACTAAGACTTTAACTTACTAAATAAAACACCAAATAATAAAAAATTGTTAATTAGGTATTCCAGATATGTACTTGATGCTCTTATTTTAAATGTTTGTGTACAGTTTGTTACTTTGTACTGTAACAGCCAGTCGAAGGTTATAATATTTCAATTGAAGAAAGAGGATAGGATAGGGTGTGTACAGTAGCTTGTTAGTAGTGAGTGTATTTAGAGATCGGAGAAGTCTTGACAGAGTATCCTGGAGTGTGTTTTGTGAATTTTGTCAAAAGGTCATGTAAATTTAGAAAACTTTTCTTTTTCTTTAAAATTCTCGCATTCTCATGAAAGCAGTTTCAAACTACAATTAGCAGGCTGTTTGGCCTGGCCCTCAGGTAAACAGAATGAAAGACTATGGTGAGCCACACCTCAGTAGTTATCTTAATAAAGTAGCAGCATGCTGTGTTTGAGTAAGGCGTGGGAAACTAACCTGCATTTGACATTTCTAGAAGTGTTCTTCAAAAAGATGAGTGGGTAGACACGCAATGATAAAACGCAGATGCACTTTATTTGTTTATTACTCCCTGAAGATGACAGTCAAAAGTAAGATTTTCTGAGAGATACAGGTTATTTATGTCAAGGAAAGGAGCATCTTTTGACTTGTGATTAACTTCAGCGTAGTTGGGCAGTACATGAGTATATTTTTTAAGTATGCAAAAAAATCAAGCATATTGTTAGCAAATTAGACACGTTTGCCACAGTGTGTGCAGTTAGTAAGGAATTAATTATAGTAAGGGTAGAAATGGGGTTGTCCAGGGTGGTGTACCCACCAAATCTGTTTTTATGCTCAATGTCCAGATTAATTTGGTTTTAGAGGAAATGGAGAGTTGTGCTCCATACTTGAAAAACATTATCTTTTATTTGGAAGAGATAGGCAAACCCGGTGAGGAGGAACATTGATTGTCCACAACAAGGAAAATATGGAGGCAAGAGTAAACAGTACGTTTTGCTGAAAGCATTTATTTAACCTATCTTCACAAAATGAGTACTGTAATCCTATCCTACATGTTAAGTCTTTCATGTTACTTAGCATAAACTAAACATAGGGTTTTCTGGTTGGGTTGGAATTAAAGGGAGCATTTGGTTTTGTTTTTGATGGGTAGTAAAATGTGACCCAGGTGTCCAGCCACAGTAACAATCTCTTGTTCAGCATGTCAGATAGACTCTTTCAGCCTCCACGAATACTCCATCAGCAGTATGGTAATGAGTTATTCTGGGTGTAAAGGCTTCCTCTAAAATCATTTTTGTAATTGTTATATAATACTCTTACTCCTTTAAAAAAGAATTCAGTACTCCAATACATGGCAGTTCATCTACAATATTCTTTTTTTACCTAATATTCTTTATTAGCCTAATTGACTTAGGGAAACCAAAAGCTAGACTACGTTAACCATTAAAGGCTTTATGGTTTTGAGAATGCCTATGGTCACAGAGTCTAGGTTTGGGCATTGATTTCTGTAGACCTGGTATGACATCAGAAGGCACTGCTGTCTACTGGTCTTCAGCAGAGTCATCAGATCTAAAGTCAACAGCCAGACTGTACCCATGAATAAGATCCTTAGAATACAGTAGAACTAGACCATTCAGTGGCTCATATACAAGCAGGACAATCTTAAAGTCTGAATTTTCAGAGGGAGCCAAAGCAGTTTACAGACCACTGGCGTTATGTGCTGATGCAGACTTAAGTTAGTACATGGGCTGCTGAATTCTGGACATAATGAAGCTTTTTTAGTATCTTGTTGATATAAGTAAGGTATCAGGGTTGGCTTATCATGAAAAAAGTAAGGCTTTGTTCCATATTTCTGCATCAAACAGGCCGAGCACATTTTTTAACTGTGCAGTGTTATGCTGATGGAAGAAAGACTTGTTTCTAACATGGTTCAAATGAAAAAGTAATACCAGAGTTTCTAACTTCATTCTAAGTTGTCAGTTGTCAGTTGTCAACAAGTCAGGAACATAACTGGTGTTGGCAGCACCAGTTTAACCCTAAACCAAACCTGTGAACGTAAGATGAGTTTGTTTAAGTTTTAGCTCAAGAAACAGTTTTTCTTAAGAAAGTACTGTTGCATTCACTTCTTAATATCTGTAAAGTACAGAGCCTCCAGCTCCAATAATGTCAGCCTGGCCTACAAATAGGTCTCAGTGTAAAGAGTATAACAGCGAAGCAGTCCATGATGGTAGGTAATCTGACCTAGAGGAAACAAGCAAATAAACATCCCAGCACATTACTCTGTAGAACGTCTTGTGTAGTAATAATAAAAATCCCTTACACTTATACAGCACTTTCGTATAGTGTTCCCGTCACTAAAATGGGGCATAAGGACCCACACAGACTACAGGGTGAGCGCCCCCTACTGGCCCCACTAACACCTCTTCCAGCAGCAACCTTAGCTTTCCCAGGTGGTCTCCTATCTAGGCTCACACTTGCTGAGCTTCACTGGGCTGCCAGTTGTGAACTGCAGGGTGATAATTGCACGGTGTAAGTAGATTTTGATACTCAAGGAGTGTACCCACATAGAGAGGTTGAGGTAGGACTGAAGGGGTGCTCTGATAACGACCTACAGGAGGGTTTAATGCTGATTGGAGTAGTGATGCAGTATCTCCCTGACATAACTGCAAGCCTTCAGTAACCTTGGAAATCACAGGAGTTGGTGTTTCATTAGGAAGGCCTCTAATCTAGCCCTTGTAGCCCTTGTAGGTGCACAGTCAGTGGTACACTTGATCTTGGAGCTTGGAGCTTAATTCTAGTCCTGGAATACAATCTGCATAGAGCTTGTATGTTCTCCTCATGTTCATGTGAGTTTTCCGGTTTCCTCCCTCAGTCCAAAGACCAACATCCTGGTAAGTTAATTGGCTCATTGGAAAATTGGCCTTGGTGTGAGTATGTCTGTGTCTGCCCTGTGATGGGCTGGCATCCTGTCCAGGGTGTTCCCTGCCTTGTTCCCATGTCTTGCTGCGAGTTGGCTATCTCTGGCAACTCTGGATCGGATGTATAGTGGTTAGAAGATGGATGGATTGAACTAGGGTCATCTAGTGGCAAGACGCGGTCTTGGACTGGTGGAGTCGCTCGGGAGGCCATGTTGTTTCGTTTTTTCTAATACCCGAGAGAGGAGAGGTGCAGCAGGTAGCTGACAGCACGTCTGACTGCGAGCTCTTATTTCAGATGCTGCCCCTGGTCGCGATGTTGTGGGATGGGAGACTTCCGACCTCGCACGGTCTGGCTCGGCCACCCTGAGAAACGGGACCAGAGGTACCCACGGAATGTTATCAACAACCAGAAGTACAACTTCTTCTCTTTTCTTCCAGGAGTAAGTGCTTGCGGTCTTTCGAATCTCTTGTAATTCAAAGATAACTTTTGACTGTGAGTCACATTAAAAGTAAGCAGCCATTTGACCCTGCCAACCCATTTCAACATATTGGTGAATTAACTCATTGCTCCATAGAAAACAAATCTGATAACCACACTATGCTTTATTTTTGTGTTAATTTGTTGATTTTCGGTGTTCTTCACCTTCTTTGGCAACCAAATACAAAATAAAAGGAAATATCTTGAATACTTCAATGGTGCACTTTGAGTATTCTTTACATTGCATGTCCAGAGTGGCCTAAAGTCAGTTTTCTGAATTTGGCCATATTTTCCTGCAACCCCCCATTAGGAAATGCTAAGAGCACTCGCTTGTTCACAAAGAAACACAAATAAGAGGTGGAGTTGATACAATGGAAAAAAAATAATTGTTATAGTGGCAACAAAAGTTCAGCTGGGGTTGTAGATGTGCATCATGTTTTATCACTAAACCAGAGCTGTCTTGTGGACACGTAAGTAAATTATTCATAATACCTGCACTGCTCTGAAAGTGAAAAGAGCTCTGAATTTAATGGTAGTTCTGAAATAGCCCACTTTTTAGAAGAAATAAAAGCTGCAGAAAGATGAAGTACAAGTGCTTTTGCCTCAGGGCTGACAGTCACATAAATATGAGTCTGGTCTTCTGCTGTTCACTTATAAAGAAGCTCTACTGTATTTAAAGAAGGCTGAGCTGTAAAATTCTGCTTTGCCAGTCATTATCTGTTTTTGCGATAGTGACTCAATTTAAATTTGCCGTGAGGTTTCAGTTGACCTGTGCCAGCCTGCTTTTCATATAATCAGGCTGTTGGTGAACTGCCAGACACTTAAACATAGTCTCAGGGCCTTCATGACAGAACGGAATAAGTGCACTCTTTAGTACTGAAGCAGAAGAAATTTACATTGGAGAGAAGCACATTTTCCTTTGTTACTTAAACGTTCGTTCTTAATTCAGAAATTCACAATTTTATTTTTTATTTTTTTTTGCTGCAGGAAACAGGCTGGCTGCTGTCAGTCTCACATTAACAGTGTATGTTGCCTCAAAGGAGTTGCTAAATCGCTTTCTGGTTCTTACCTTGGATGAGATGTAAACCCCATTATTATACTTACTCAATAATGTTGAATGAGCCTTTGCAACACAAGTTGATGATTCATAGTCCATAGATTAGGGGTATAATTAAACAGTACGAAAGCTGAATTTATATTAATGACGTATATTGTTTAACATGCTAGTATTGTATTATACACATTGTAATTGAAAGATTTAACAATCTATGTAATGGTATTATGAACTAAAATATCAAAATAGCTATACTTTCTATACTTCCATACACATGTGGTATACTTTTATAGACTTTTTCTCCCAAATTTCTTGTAGAATATTCCAAAAGATCCAGTTTATATTCAGTTTTTCAATCTGACTTTGGTCCAAAGTTTGGATAGTCCCACAAGGCCTTAATTGGATTTGTGTCAAGGAATTTGTGGCTGCCAGACAACCACTTCATCTGTCACATACCATTATGAAGGGCATCACAACGTATAGGTGATACAATGCATTCTATTGTAGTACTTTGGTACAACCAGAACCTGCATTATTATAATGCTCCTGCTAACGAGCAGTTATATTTTGCAGTGGATGGGATTAAAGGGGCGGTAGATTGTGTAGCCTTGCTTTCAAACGCATTAACAATGTGTTTTTGATCATTAACTTGGTGAAAGAAATTCAAAATGAATTCAGAAAACTGAAATTAACTCGGAGGTCTGCTCAGTGTTGTACTGTATGTGTTGGAGTTTGATGGCCCGATATGTTCTGATGTTTTTTACATGAGTGATGACTTGCATAGAAGTTCTTTAGCTGTAGCTCTGTCGTCAAGTTGCACTGTGGTGTTAATGGAATTCATCATAGTTCTTGCATTCCGTGGTCCGTGTGTAAAACCTTTCGGTTTGATTGGTCAGTGTGGGCGGCGCTACAGAACTGAGATGAGGCACTTTTCGTTATAGATATTCTCAAAATTGAGAAAGTAAATCAGAACAAATGACATCAGTTATTATACATAACCAGAAAATGTAAAATTGTGGCCTGTCATAGTTGGGTTTTTTTTGGTGATGAGTAGGATCATTGGAGGATCTTATCCAAACTTCTTTGAAAGAATGACCAAAATTTCTTGATTTCAAAGAATGAGCTTTACGAGTGTGGCTGGAAAGTTAGTCACAGATATCTGTTCGACAGTGTTAAGAAGTGCTCCGGTCCAGACTACACTACCTCTTACTTTCCACCTATGCCATTTACCGTAAGAGGACATTTTCATCTTTGTGCTTGAAAAGGAGATATAAATGTAAGGCAGTACAGTTGAATTAGTGTAACACATTATTGTGAACTCTAGCCTGAATCCCAAGGTTCAGGGTGATATATTTCTAAGAGTAGTGGGTAAGTAGCAGACATTTTCAGTACCCACAAGTGAAGAACCCTGTTATGAAAGAAAGAGGGTTTTTCGTTGGTTTTACATAGAGAATCCATGTTAATTGAAATATTAGGTGGTTTAACTGGATGTTTGGAAGCATTTCCAATCAGATGTTAATGTCTTCTCTGGGGACTGTTTGAGGATACGTATACAGTGTGTGACCAATACTGTTCGTTATCACAGAAAGGAAGCCCATCTTTAACACAATGAGTCATTTTCTTTGTGCATGGTACCAATATATGTACCTGAGTCACCACCAGTTCATTTTGGAAAAGGAGTTCATCCTCAGACAGTGGCTAATTTAAATGAAGGTTTAATTAAATTTTAAGTAATTTATAAACACATTCAAAGCCTAAACATTTTTCAGGGGTCCACATGAACTCATTTCCTCTCCACTTTACCTTTTTAAACAGTTTCTCATACTTATTTCTGAATCACTCTTTTTAAATGTTAGATGCCAATAACTTGAATCGAAACTGGACACAAACCTCTTAAAACATGTTCAGTAACAGATAAATCCCCAACCAACTGTATTTGACCTTTTTTCAATTTAAATTTTAGGCTTGTCACTACCGTCAAAATTGTGTTCTGACAATCCGAAATAAATCACAGCTCTGACATTTCACGTGTTTTCTGTTCCCTGCAGTGGTCACTAAGTGATGTGCTAAGCTAGTATGTTTTAATATGAAAATTTATATTTATATGACATTATAGGTCTAACAACACATTTTTGTGTCAAATGATTATTGCCAGCATTATCGTATACCAGCGTCTAAAGAAATCTGTCATTAGCTGTACTGATGGAAATTAATTCCATAAATATGTGCAATTACTGATTACATTTACTATGAATTGTGGCAGCCATCTGGCATACATTTGATGTGCTATATATATGCACACATGACCCAATCACCAGCATCATTAAAATGCACAACGATGTATCAGGATTGTTAACTGTGCTTTATCCTCATCATTGAAAATTGTGTAGGAACTGAAACTTGTCTCAATGGATCTTAAATAAGATAATAAGATTTACATTTTAAGCTAAACCTATCAGCATAAGACATTTTACAGGAGAGTAAAGGAAGTGGGGAATACTAAGTGAATTGTGTAAAGCGAATTAAAAGTTTCAAATCCTGACCTGTGTTTGTACAGTTTTTTTTTTCTATGACATAATTCTTGTTTTGTTCCAGGTTCTCTTCAATCAATTCAAGTACTTCTTCAACCTCTACTTCCTCTTGCTTGCCTGCTCCCAGTTTGTCTCAGAGCTCCGGCTGGGTGCCCTCTATACATACTGGGTGCCTTTGGTAAGACCATCTCCCATTTGTTTGTACTTAAGGTTTTTTGTGTGCGATGTCCCCTTGTGGTCTTCGACATTTGGATTAGCAAACTCAAACTCAATCCCTGGAGTAGTCAATTAATCTTATTATTTTCTTGAGACATATTTGTTTTACAGAGGATTATATAAAATATCCAATTCATTTAAAGGGTAAAAGGGTACAGCTATCTATTATTTATGTACCGTATGCTTTGGGAGCCAGATTAGAAGTATTACAATTATGCAGTTAAATAACTAAATCAACCAGAGGGCACTGGGCCCTCCAGGAATTGAGTTTGAATTTAATTTGAGTTTATTTACGCACAAGTTACATTATCCTAGTAGCTTTATGATGTTCTTTCACACTTTTTCCACATTCAGATGTCTGGGTGTTGATAATTTGTCAATGTAAAACATGCTTACATGTCTGTAGGAGTGTAAGGGAATGGCTGGCAGCGTGAACCAGCTTGTTTTACTGACTCCTGCTTTATAGGACTGCATCCGTTCCTTCTTCTTAATATCAAGAATTATCATCATCAGTAGCAGTGCAGCTTTCTTGAGGTTCCCCTACGCAGCAGTGCCTGCCTTGAAATGTGGTAACTCTTCTGAGCATTTTACTAGGTCTTTCACTTTCGGGCACATACAATATGATACAAGAGATGTACTGGAGCAATACGTCTGGGAGCACAATATTGGACTGTAGTAGAGCACGCATCAGTGCTTTAAATTAAAAGCAGGGTTCTGTTTTTAAGAATAGATTCTCTAAAATCCTTTGCAGACAGGCGGTTCACACCGATTTCAAATGATGTGGATTTAAGTCTCTGTAGCCGTTGTGAATGCTATCCATTTATTTTGTCATTCTGGCTATGCTACTCCTGTTGAGGGAAATTAAGAACTAAGTGACTGAATCTTGGCAGAAGAATAAATAGGTTGCCCTGAGCAATTTCTTCCTGCTGTGCCGGTTCATCCTTGCATTTACAGAGTATGCTGCTAACTTACAATGAGTGTCCTGAGGATACTCTTAAGTCTCTGAAACAATGTCAGCATCAGCACAAGCACTAGTCCACCTCAACATGAAAAGTAGTGTTGAGATAAATGATAGGAAGGGTAATATATATATATATTTTTAATGTCATGGAACATCTTGACAGCATTCTGGAGAACCAAGGGGTGAAACAGTCAGTCCATCCAAACAAATGCTTTTTGGATGAGCACCTCTTCAGAGTGCTTTCAGAAGTGTCCAGTGATGTGAGCAAATGGTAAATCAACCAAACCTTTCTACCATGTGTTCCCATGGAGATATTAAACCTTCCAGGCAAGTCTCGGAGCACTTTCACATTTTAGGACTTTGGGGAAAAAAAATATCAAGCACATATAAATCGAGAAACCAGTTTATATCATTAAGAGGCAGCTTTACAGGCTGCCTAACTGTTTAAGGGAGAAGCTCAAACAGCAACAGCCTTAATACTGTAACTCTGTATGTACTCAGTTATGCTAGAAAGGCTTTCTGTAACAGCAGATGGCTCACAGACTGAGGGCTTGATAGCTGGAGAGGCAAGGCAGTCAGGATCAACGGTGTTGAGGCTTACCCCGTTAGATGTGAGGCTTCTTAAATGATCAGTTTCTCATTTAAACTGGCTCATTTGAAAATGGAGTTCATTAGCGTAAGCATCTCTGGACACCATGTTAGCTTCCATAGGGTGTTTTGACACTGTAAGCCCTCGCTGTCCTAATGAGATTGTTTGATGAACTGGAAAGAAGTTGGAGCAAATGTGTCTTCACTGAAAGTATCTTTAGCCTTAAATAAAAAAAAAAAAAACCTGTGACAATATTAAATATGACCGGCTGAGAAGATTATTAGATTAAACAACTCTGCCAATCTTTAGGGTAATAAAGTGGATTACATTGAAACGCACACCAGAAGGCCCTTGGCTCTACAGGAAGTGAATTTGACACCCATGGTCTACAACCTTCATTAGAAGAAGATTTGCTGCCTCTCTGACCGCTATTTGTTGAAAAGAAGAACAAAACCTCTCCCGTCTTTCGATAAAATGTACCTCCCAAACATCATTTCTGAGTTTATTTTAATACGAAACCCTCTCGCCAACATTTCACAATACAGCGGTGAGTCTTGTGACCAAAACTCCCAATATTTGTTTATCAGTTTCTCTAGGGCAGGCTACATCATTAGCTGCAGAACTTAACCACAACGGTTAATTCAGTTTTCCCTTGTGGTTCAACATTTAAATACCAGTTGTAAAATTACAAGTTATGTTTTCATCGAGCCAGAGCCAGCGAGGAAGCAGTGGTCTCAGCAGTTGTAAAACTGGAATAATTTATATCACAGGCTATACAATATGAATATGTTAGTTAAAATAAAACAGTTCTTTGTGGCACATAAGAAAATGTAGATACTTGCCATAGTATTTTATATCTACAACATTATCTTACTTGCAGCTTTATAAATGTTTGCCTTAAGTTTGCCATAATTGCATGGTCTTCAGCTCAATAGGAAATTCCAAGTTTCTTGGTGGAAAAAGTTTACAAACCTATAAAATAGTTGATTTATTTTTAGATACAAAATTGTGTAGTGATTTTGAACTAAGACTAAGATTAGTTTGGGGGAGGAGGATATAAAATATATTGAAGAAAGTGGGGGAGCCCGAAATATAGTGGGGACCTGACCATCTTAGTTTGTACTTTAGGTAGGATCAAGATGCCTGTAGAGAAAAGAAACCACAAAGTACAAGGTTTGTAATCTGCAACAGGCTGATGGGTAAGGGTGTTGATTTTATCCAGGCCAAGCTTCCAGGAGCAAGTTGAGGTGCTTTAAAATATTGTCCCTGTATGTGCTAAATAAAACAGTTCTTTCAGCAGAATCAAGAACCTTTTGGTGGAGTAGTTTGAGAAATAACTGATGATGATAAAGGGTCAGGCACATTCCTAACCATAAAGTGTTTTAACATGTGTCTTTTGATGTGTCTGGCTTCATAAATAATATTGATTTATTCTGATTCTGTGGCACTGCTGCAGGTAAACCTGTTCAGTCATTTGAGGAGTTAAGTTATTTTAGGTTAGGAGGAAAGAAAGGTTTGAAGGTCTCGCAGTTGGCGAAAGTGTGGTTGGTTGTCCTGCAGGGTTTTGTGCTGATAATCACCATTATTCGTGAAGCGGTGGAAGAGATCCGATGTTTTCTGCGGGACAAGGAAGTGAACTCGCAGATTTACAGCAAGCTGTCAACCAGAGGTGAGCTCCACTTGCTTCTGTGTTTGTCTGGTGTTTTGGGGGAAAAAACTTTGGGTTGTGTAACCATACTCAATATTTGTGTCTGTAATGTTTATCTCAATGTTTTCTGTCGGTATAATATTACATCCATGCTGGATTTCCCATGCAGCAGACATAAAATTCTCTTCGTGCTACATTTTATATATGCTTTATGTGGTCAACAGAGTAAACATCTCCTAAATTGTAGTTTTATGTCATGCAAATGTAAAATTATTGTAACGTTTTATTAAGTGAGACCATTCTTAAGGAGTGATTGGGCCCATTATAACAGTTACGTGATAGTTAAATTCTGCTTAATTTAGGAAGCTATGATACCTTGCATCTTAAACACTCTTGTACTTTTTAGGTTTGCACAGCATGCAAATAGTGTGTGGTTTTCTTTCTTACTCTCCAATGTTGATCAGATTCACTTGAAAAAAAAATAGAAAACCAACATCACATTATAGTTCATAGAAGTATAAAAAAACATTTAGTCTCTGAAGCATTTTATTCCATGGTACAGTGCATGCAACAATCCACAGCCATTGATCGGTATTTCCTGAAAACTTGTAGTAAATAACATTTTGAACAACAAAATGCTGTATAATGGTCTAAATTTCAGCAGGAGGCTTACAAGCCCCACATGATGTACAAAGAATTCATTTACTGGTACTTTAGCGTCTCTGAATGCACTAGCATTCAACTGTTTCACAATGAGTCGCAACCATTTATGAGAGAGTTTTCTTGAACTGAATGGCAGCTAAGTGTGTCTTTCTTTTATTACAAATGTGTTCAGCTGTGGAGGGATTGTCTGCTGCCTGAAAAATCACTTTAGGTACCTTTACACTAAATATATAGATTTTTCAAAGGCTAATTGGTCCTTCCTTCTAATACATAAATGACATGTAAAGACACAAACTAAAAGCAGAAGTCTTCAAAAATCTATCCGTTTTAAATTACTTTATCTGTATCAAAAGTGAGGTTTTGCTGCCAAGCTCAGCCCCTTCCTCATCGATATTTGAGCACTTTGTCCATGAATCCTGTAGTGTTGGATTTTACAAGACCAGAGGGTAAGTGTAGTTAGGGAGAATTCTCAATGTGCTCAAGGAAATGTAGAATATTAACACCAAAATAACTTTAACAAATATTGTTAATTTAAATCTGAAAAATATTGAAGACCATTTCCATGAAACCTCAATTTTTTTTCTGTGTTTCATTCGAGGACTTCACTATCAGTCATTAGAGCTCGATAGTTTCCCCTTTTAAAGTGGCTGGCTGCCCATTCCTATATCCGTTTGGCAGTGAGCCCTATTATCAGGAGTTCTGCCAGTGTGTCTGGTGTCAGACTCAGTCCTGTAACTCACTGATTCTCGGAATGACCACCCTGAGAAGACTGGCTGGCAGTCAGGTGGTCTTTCTTGAAGTCATAAACACATTGTAACACATACCTTTATCCTCTGAATCACATGCCCTGGGGGATTTGTGGTTCTCAGTGTGAATTAGCCAGTAGGAAATGACTTTCAGAGGAGACTGTTGGAACTTGTTTTGTCCCACAGTGGAGAAACGATGCGTTTTTGATTGAGGCGTTTCTTCCATCTTGTTTTTCTGTGTGTGTGATTTATTGTTTTCCAATTTAGACCAATGTTGAACTTTTTCTATGCAAGCTCCAAGCCAGAGCTCAGACCTTCATTTTGAGAATCTGGATTTAAAAAAATAGTGTGTGTGGGGGGGGGTGAGTCTTGTGAGTTTGAAAGAATCATGGAGATAAATGTTTGTTTTTCTGTGTTTTTATACTTCACTATCACATTTAAGATCATTCTCTAAAATCCCTTAGTTTTAATACTTAACCATGGTAAATAGTATTGATGTAGTAGAGTGCAGGAACTTCTTAGTTAACTTATTAGTACTTGTTAAAAAATTGGAAAAAAAAGTTGGTGAAGATGTGGTAACATTCCAAATTAGAGCACTGCACCGAATTAGATGGAAAGAAAGGTGAAATTATCAATTGCTTAATTGAACAAATTAGGAAGGCAACGATAAATTTGAACTCACTTCTGCAGTATTTAAAGAATTTTATGGAACAATCAATAAGGAGCAGATATTTTAAAAAAACCTTGATTCTAATCTGAGATAAGAAAGCTTTTCTTTTATTGATTTTCAATAGCAGGGCAGGATTTTTAAAAGACTTCAATTCATGAAAGCAGTTGACTACAATGGAAACATACTGTGGTTCAAATGCTCTATTGTAAAAGCTTATATTACCTAGGTCTTTCAGAGTTTCAACTGAATATTAATGTTCCTTAATTTCAACCAACCAAATTCCACACACATGGGAAAAGCCAGAGGTCATCACAAAGGTCACAGGTCAGTAAGCTGCTAAAAATATGTTTGCCTTAGTAGAATCATAAGGGCTCTTTTGAACTTTCCCTGCATAGCTAGTTTTTCTTAAGAACAGATACGAAAACACTTCTCCACAAGTCAATAGCCAAGCATTTTACAGCAGGCACTCAGGAGATGTTAAGGTGATCCTCAGAAAATGTTTTAAGTTTGCTTAAGCAAGACTTTGCTTTAGAGCTGTTACTAATTTAGATTTAGTAAAAGAATGTGTTCAGAAAAGCAGGGTCACCTTATGGTATACTCAAACTGTGTTGACACACCTGAAGAAGGCTCCATGGCCCGAAACGTTGTTTTCTTTCTTCTCTTTTCAGTGTGGAATAAACCTATTACTTGTTCCTATATATAGTGTATATATAGTTATGACAGATTGTTATAGTAACAGTGATAATGAGAAAATGTTTTTTTTTTCCTTTATATAGTGTTTTACTCCCCAAAGTACTGTATCTCAAAGTGTCTAACACTCCCATACAGTACTTACAGTACACCATGAGGTCTCACATTTCTCTCTATTCGAACAAAAAAGTCACACAGCTTAATATCCATTCGTTTTCTAACTGCTTTTTCTAGTGCAGGATCACAGGGAAGCCTGCCTTGGGAAGCAATAGGTACAAGGTAGGGTAACCCTGGATGGGCCACCAGTCCATCACAGGGCACACACAGACGCAGACACGCACACACTCGCACCAGTGCCAATTAACCTACCAGTGGACTGGGAGGAAACCGAAGCACACGGAGGAAACCCATGTGAACATGAGGAGAACATACAAACTCCACACAGATGGCACCCCAGTGCCACAAGGCAGCACTGTTCACTATTGTACCAGCTTGCCACCCATGACTTAATATACTCTATAGTTTTTTGGTTCGGAACCATATTACAGGCTATGCTATAAAAAATGTTTTAATGAGCTGTCAGGTGACCTGCATTGGAAAATTTGCTTTTCTCCTTACAGAGCTGCACAACATTTGTTCTCCACACCCATTAGAATTAGTGTAAATAACCTGGTATCAAAATACAGAGAATCTAGCATTTCCTAATATTTCACTCCAGTGTCAATGAAGGAAAGCCTGGGCTGGTAACTGGATTGTACAATACTACATTACCCTGTAAATAAGAAATTTGTACAACTGTCCAGGACAAGAAAAAGCTGTAGCAGATGATCTCTGCCCTGATTTTCAGAGAAATGTTGGTCATTTATATTCCCTTCTGCTGGAAGAAGTAGGTTTCAAACAATAGAAAATAAATGAATTCTAGAAAAAAAAGTATTTCTTTTTAGCACTGCACCTAAATGCACAGTTCTATAACTGATCTACTTGATTATGGCTTGTGGACCATCTGTGATTCAGGTTGTATTAATTAAAAAAACAATTATCAGTTAATTTGCCTAGTGAGTTTTTGAATTCTTTTTTAAATCGTTGCCAACCCATCAAACCCATCAAACCAACCCATCAAACTTCTCTCTCCCTCTCTGCTCCTCACTTGTCGACATCACGTAGCTCTTAGAATCTGAAAGTGCTGTTATTTTTTAATGGGGGGGGGAGGGTTCTGGTAGAGTGGTTTTGAAAAGACAGAAATTGCCCGTTAGTCCATTAATGCTACTCTTCAGTGATCACTGCTTTCATTTCTCTTGCAGGCACAGTGAAAGTGAAAAGCAGCAGCATCCAAGTGGGAGATCTTATCATTGTTGAAAAGGTTGGTGCTTTGTTTCCGAAGCCGAAGCCTCTATAAACTATACACCTGTGTAGTTTTATTTGTGTCATTTTTTGAACAAAGTGAATTCTAAAGAAGTGAAAAGCCTGGAATGGCCGCTTAGCACCTTCAGACAGGAGCAAGCGAGCAGTTCTACGTGTGTGTGTTGACACGGCCTCAGCAAGACAGTCTGCCTCCGGAAGAAAACCCACTGTTCGGTTACGCAAGAGGAGCTACTGAAAGCAAATCTCCGTAAGCTCCTGGATTTGGGTTCAGCTGTAAAAAGCCTCGAGACTAGGATCTCTCAGCTGGGCCTTTAAAGTCCAGCGTTAAGTCCTACTAAAAGTATGTTGTTGAGGCGAGTGGATAAAGCATAAGAGAAAATTTGTAGCTTTCCTCACCTTTGCTCAAAAGGACGTTTTCTAGGTGAGTTCAGTGAACTGTAAAGCAGACTGCGCAGATAAGCTGAGGTTTCACTTTTGTTTAAGAAGACACGGTGCAATGGATGGCACTAATATTTCAGAAGCAGCGACAACAAGATGTATTGTGTGAATGCAAATCATTGTCCGGTTACTTACTTGACATAGTGGACAGTTATGTTCAGTGATATCAGCCATGAGTTGCAGAGCACTAGGAGTAGTTACCTTAACTTCTTCTTGCAAAGCAACCTCGAATTGGAGTTAAAATTTTAAATCTACCATTAACCCGTGTTTGTTTTTTTTAACATACACGTGTCACTTTTACTAAGGATGACCATATCAGTGCTGCACTGTGGAGTACAGTATGTGTTTGGGGAAATTATCCGCATTTGTCCTGGATTTTGGCATGATGTGAAATTGTGTGTTCTACGTGTGTTCTGCTTATTAGTTCATTGTTTCAGTTATAAGGGCCATTCCCCATTAACCCTACTAGATCAAAGAGTACATTCAGGTGCACACTTATCAATGCCCTTTAGCTGAACTAATACTAGAAAATAATTTGTTTATTTGAATGAATATTAACAGTGTTACCTGTTCATACCTTTCTGAATGCTAATCCATTATAGGGGGCCATAGCAGAGATTCCAGGTAAATTAAGCAGGTGTAGATAGGGAGCTGATATATATACCCGTCTGTGCAATTGTAGACAAATATTGTCACCATCTAAACGTAGTTGGTCACATTTCCATTACATCTGTTTATAAGCAGTCTATTAACATTTTATTAATGATATTCCAAACAGTTGAAAGAATTGCATATTGCATTGTTCACAATCTGAGTTGCACGTTTTACCAGTTAGTTCATTTGGATCAAAGGCTGGCAGCACATTTTTCTACAATGGTATAGAAAGCAAATAGTTATTGTCATCGCATATTAATAAGGTAATTACACTTCATTGCAGTGCAATGCATTCCCTGACTGTTATTGCAGTGCGTTATCTGACTGTGTTGATGGTCTTTAAGACCTGCTCCTTTTTTGGTCTCGTATATATTGTTTTTCATTTGCCTACAGCACATTAGTATTCACAGACGCACTTGGCTTTGCTAATTTGTGAGAGGACTTTGTAGAGGAATGTGAGGTTCCATTGTACTGCTGGTGACTGATGCGTTACTTTCGTCAGCCATAACTGCATTTATTTGCACCAGCAGAAAATGCTTTGTCAGCATGGACTTTATAGCACGGAAAAGAGCCATGTTTGAAGTACTTTAGAAAACAAGTGCATGTTTTTAATTCTACTTAACTTTATACTTTGAAACTGCAAAAGAACACGTCCATCTCTTATCAGTAACCACTTAATCCTTAGGGGATTGGAGGGTTGCAGAGAGGTGGAGCCGGTCCTTGCAGGCACAGGGCACAAGGCCGGACTACGCTTTGCTTGGGGAACCTATCCATCTCTGGAGACACACCACACACGTAGGGGAGGACTTAGAGATACCCGTTAACCTGGACAGCATGCCTGTGGAGTGTGGGAACAAACTGGAGAGGCCAGAGAAAGAGGGAGAACATCCAGGTAGCATTGAGAAGGCATCCTAGGCCTGAATCCAAGGATTGTGAGGAAAGGGCTCTGATCATCATGCCACCCAGCTGTAATAATTGTACATGCTGCTAACCAGACTAGTTTTTATCTTTTATCAGAAAAGATACACAGATTTCAAAGCACCTGTTTATCAGCTTGGCATATCAAGATATGCCTTTTCAGATCGGCTGTGAGTCTTTGTGTTCTTAGCAGTGCCCTATAATTCCTTTGCGTCGTTCACTCCTTACTGGCATTTAGGCATTGCCTGTCTTCTGCCTCCTGTGTTGAGAAGCTCAGGGGCCTCTTGGCAGAGCCTTCCAAGGTGAAATGTGATAAGGGTGCCCTGCTCTTGCTAACTGCTGGCCTGTATGGCTTTCTGTTTTCTCAAACGTCTCGTTAAACAATGCTTATGAGAGCTGACAAAATACACTTTGTCAAGCAACTGAAGGGGAGCGTTTTTCCCGCATGGCCAAATATGGAGCTGCCCTTTAACTTTCACACAATATCAGCATAGTATTAAAACTCATCAAAACCACAGACGATCTTCTCGAACAATTGCAAACCTTTCTGAAAGAGTGTTTATTTTTTTTATTTTTGTTTATTAAAGCTCTTGACTTTTTTAGTTAAGTAGAGTTATTTAGGATTTCTTAATTTACTGCTAGATTATGAATAAGCTGTGTGTCAGAATCAGTATGGCTGTTATTTCAGCACATTGGATTCTTTCCACAAAGGTTTAATGGCTATTAATAGGGAAAAGAGGAGTCCACGAATGGATTTCTGCCATATTAACTTGTTCAGTGCCATTTGCAATTCGTAAAGGACCACTGAAACCTACTGTTAAGCTCAAGCATGCGTCTATGAAGTAGTGTTTCAAACAAAATGAGATAATGTTTAATGATTGTGTTATTAGCATAAGGTTTGTGTAAACATGAATGTTGACACATTGCTGTCAATAACTAGGCATTATTGAATGACTGCTGAGGTGAAGTCTAAATGACAGCTTCAGAATGGAACGCAGTTGAGTACCTGAGTGTTGTGTGTGCTGTTTCCCTTCAGCTCTAAGATAACCTTAGTTCATTCTGACCCCCAAATATGACACGGGCAAATCACATTTCATCCACGAATGATTCAGCAAGGTTATCGTTTTGTTCAGAAAAGGCCATGTTTTGTAATTGTGAACTGAATCTTCAAGGTCTGAATTTTGTCCTCTAGAAGGAAAGTGACAGTTTTGTCAGTCCTTGTTCATTTCATGGAGTTAATATTGATTTTGTAGTACAAAAGGTGCATTTAAAGGCACAAAAATACAGCTTGTTTGTAGACTAAATAAAAAGGGTGAGATCGTCGATGAAAGTGAATGTATCCATTTTTTATTCCATAGAGGTGAAAATACCTTTTGTAATATGATTTGTGTTAATTTGTTGTTTGCATGACAAAAATGGTGCACCATTAAAGGAATAAGAACATTTTCAAAGACCCTTTCTTCATAAACATGCAAAAGGTAAAAATATTTTATTATGAATATAATTAATAACATTACACCTGCCTGTCCAACAGCTGAATGCTGATGTACAACTTGATCTTCCTGTAGTTAACACTACTTTTCTGTCTTGCAACTGTTATGCCAGCATCTCAGTAACATCCCAGGGACAATGACTGATATAAGCAACAGGAATTTATTTTTGTCATTATATGCTGTTACATTTTGTTAAATTAAGTGCATGAATTATATGAATTAGTGCAGATGTTCTACCAGCCTATGTGATCAGAATCATTTGAGGGACTGCTGACAATCTAAATATATTTTTAGATCCTTAAAATCATTCCAAAATAAGAATATTTCACTTTGACTAATTTGCTTAGGAAAAAAGGGGATGTATCTCAACCTCAACAAACCATCATCAATATTTGGCCATGTTTCCTAGTACACCCCTGTCTTCCACTAGTCAAAATATTAGCAAAATCCAAATCTTAGGGTAGGAATCCCCCTGGATGAAGAATGACATGTTCTGATGAGGAATGTTTGAAATTTATTTTTGCTTTAGTAAATACTGTAAATGAATTACTCCAGTTTTAGAGATGGTGAGCTTGGCTCAGAGTCACCTTTTGTGTTGATGTGTGGCATTTAGTTATTATTACAGCGGTTATCTTTGAGTTGTTATTATAGCAGCTGATTTGATTTGAAAGCAACTAGCATTTAACATATTATATAGATCTTTATATTCTGCAGTAGAACGTTGCATAAAGCTGGTCAGATTTTTAAAGCTATTGACTCTCATGTTTTAAAGAAATAGGAGGCAGGTAATACGCACTGAAACGTCTGCACTGTTGATCTAAAGCTGCTTTGTGAGTTAAATTGTGAGTTACACAGTTTAACTGTGAGTGCACCCCTCACTGTACTGATTGTATTGTATGTATTGTACTATTATTATTATTATTATTATTATTATTATTATTATTGTATCATTCGTTACATTGTGGCTGTGTTGTCTGTGTTTAGCTGCTGTTGCACTGCAATTTCCCTCACGGGATCAATAAAGTATCTAATTTGGAAAAACTGCGGAGATGCGTGTTTTAAAGAGCACTTCAGAGAAAGCCTAGGTCACAGCTGGTACTTACACAAGATTTAAAAGGACACTTATTATTATTTGGAAAATGTTTCCAAATAAGCTAACTTGGGAATGGATTGTTAACGTATTGGACTATGACAACAGTGGTAAAGTTATAACAAGCTGAGTGAAAAAGAAGGAAGGAAGGAAAGAAAAATGGCTGTTGCTGAAAGGAAAGATAAATACATCCTATTGTTAAATACCATTTCCTGGGATAATTCTTAAATCCATTTCTACACTCCAGGCGGAGGTTTTTCTCACCGTTTTGTTGAAATAATTTTCCTGTCGGCAGGAATCCTCCAAGTTTTGTCAAGCTTGCACGCCACACTGACCCATAAATCAAAAAAATACACAAATACATATGCTCTATGAATGAAAGTCTTAGAGAAGGAAAACGTTTATTTATATTTCCAGGAAGAAGCAGAGGTTAATGCGATGAGATAAGGCGAAGAGTGTTTCTGTAATAGTCATGCTGAGGACTGCTGTTTTTTTCTGTGTGTTTCAGTGTGAGATTGAATTGCCTCATGCCTTGGAAACTCACCACTCTAACGTCTTCAGGATATGCATCTCTGAAAATTGCTTAATAAAGGAACATTGGGTGTGTTTTTTAAATGTTATTCTCTTTTTCTTGTAGAATCAGCGAGTGCCCGCAGATATGGTCTTCTTGAGGACTTCAGAAAAAAATGGTAAACATCTGCAGTTCATTAATCTAAATCTTACAAACAGGATAGCTGGGAAATTGCACCTAAAAAGATTGGGGGGTGGAAGGATTAAGGTGGGTCAGGATGTGTAAAATATCCAGAAAGTCGTTGACTCCAATACGCTGTCAATATGCTGTTTTTTTCCCCCTGTTAAAGTGCGATGGAAGTGGGGGTTGGTGGATATCACAGCAGAGTTAAGTCACCAGCTTTTCAAAGACTTTCATCTCTGCAGGCCCGGATGGGAAAAGTGCCTGAGGCCATAAACAAGTTTTAATCAGTATGCATTTGCTCTTCGAAATAAAAAACTTCATTTTTATAAAATACTTTGTGAGCTAGTGACCACAGAGGCCCAGTTACAAAAATGATATGAAAACCCCCCAAAATGCCCGATGCCTGATTTTTTTTATATGGTCAATGTATTAAAAGAGAGCATAAGTGAAGCAAATATCTTGTATACTGCAGAGAGGTGATTTTTTATTAAGATCTGAACATTGGAATGGACCGAGCCAGGCCTGTAGCATATTCTTGGTGAATACTGCATGGCAGCTGTTTCTTGATTGTGTTTAAGGACATTCTGTGGTGTAATGAATGACATATATGTTTTGGATTTTGGAAACTAAATAAGGGTTTGCAGAGTATTCATTTATACAAGTCTCGACCTAATTTTCAAAGTTTACAGAAATGTGATAAGCAAGAGGCCAGTGGAGTCACTTTTAACCCTGAATACCTGAAATGTGATCCATCTTGACTGAAGCTTCCTGTAAAAATGAATTGTTGATCTTAGGGGAAAGGCTGCTTCATAATCCCCTTCACAGATGGAGGCCATTAGGTCATTAGGAAGAGCCTGGGGTCTTGAGTCCGGCCATTCTCCTGGACAGGAGAGCTCTAAACAGGGATGACTCAGCTGGGCAAGGAGGGTAGGCCTGTGCTGTAGCACACCTATTGCCTCTTCAAGGCCAGGTGTGCTTACCTGTAGGGATTCCTTTTGCTTTTACTAGAGGTCAGTTATTTAGAAACACTAAACAAGACGTGTATGTGGGCTGTACCACACTTTATACAGTAGTTAATTAACAGGCTCTTTTACTGTATATAGTACATTCAAAGCAGAAGTAGAACTGTTGTCATATAGAATTTACTTTTCTGCTTTCATTTAGCACCCAGTCTTCATAAAACTTGCTATGCTTATATAGACCCTAGTAGATCTCCGATGGGGAGACAGTATTATAGCTGGCTTTGATGACTCCAAGAGATTTCATCCCACGTAAAAGGGTTTCTAAGTTGATCTGTTTTCACCAGCTCCCTCACCATTGAGCAAATCAGGTTCACTGTTATGCTGTGGATATTTTCTTCAAGAGCAAAAAATGAGAATACAAGGGGAAAAGTGTCTGTGTGCAGTAGTGATTTGCTTGATGTACTTAGATGTATAGAGTCTGTTTACATGCAGTTACAAAATAGAGGCAACAATTAAGAAAATAGGGACTACAGGTACTATTGGCCATATAAAAAGCCTTCAGACAAGTTCATATATAACAGTTCAGGAAAGAATTGCTAACACCTTATCCTTGCAGTTGTTTTACTGTCAACGTAAAAACCAGTACCATTGGTAATCTGCGCAAAGAGAGTTTGGGAATGACTGCCAGGCCCTGCTTGTGTATGTGGAGGTGAAGTGGTGCTGCTTTTCAGAACACAACAAGCCACAAGCGTTATAATGACCTTTCTAGATGATGAACAGCAATCTGAAATAAACCTAGTAATGTCACCCATGGATACAGCAAGATGATTCAACTTGGAAAGAGAGAATCCCGAATGAGAAAGGGCAACTTGGAGACAGCAGTGCCCCCTTGAGGTGATGTTGTATCTCTGCATTCCCCTGGGCATGTTCTGTGTTCATGACCGAATGTTTCACTTTGTCAGTAACTCCCTTGACGAATCACAGTTTAGGGTGTGGGTATACAAGAAGATGAATCGGAGCCCACCTCCCAGTCTTCTGTGATTCCTCAATGAACTGCCTGGGAAACATGACATTGATGCATGAGGAATTGTTTGCATTTGGAATGTGACTTATGGGGCTGTGTTACCTGAAGCTGGGTGTGTCCCCCCCCTGCGCCCTTTGTCTTTCAGGGTCCTGTTTCCTGCGGACAGACCAGTTGGATGGGGAGACGGACTGGAAGCTCCGACTGCCCGTGGCTTGCACTCAGAGGCTGCCCACTGCGGCCGTGAGTTTTCCCATCATGTTTCACTCCAGAAAGGGCAGCACTTACAGAAAGATTAGAAGTATCTTACATTTGTGTATGTGCTCTTTGGGATGGTCCTGGAGCTCTTGGCACATTGACAACCATCTTAAATTGAATGACTTGACAATGTACTTTGTCACTTATATCTTAGAGGATGTTAACTGCAAGGTTGCTATTTTTAAGAACTATACTACCACAACAGTAGTAGTCCTTTTCTGGGGACTTCCCTCCACCACCACCAATGTGTAGCGCCCACTTGGATGATGCAACAGCAGCCACAGTTCACCAGTGTACTCACACATCAGCTATCAGTGGGGAGGAGAACAGACTAATGAAGACGATTCATAAATGAGGATTATTAGGAGGCCATGATTGGTCTCTGTCAATCAAAGTCAGGGGAAATGTTTGCCAGGATACCAAGGTTAACATCCCGACTCTGCCAGTTGTGAGTTGCAGGGGGACATATCTGCTGCTTTTTTTATTCGAAGTGTTTCATTTGGTTGTTTTTTATTTCTATAATCATTTGAAAGGAAATGTTGCATATGCATAAACTCTGAAAAATAAAATGCATATCCTCCATAGAGGCTACCAGTTTGCCAGTTAGTGATGGTGGTTGGAAATCCTTGTAAGGACATAATTGTTAGCTACAGGACCTGAGAACGAAACCCAGAATCAGAATGGGACATTGTAGCTAAGGTTACAAACAGAAGTGGGCAGCTTGGATATCTTTTGCAAAGGATACAAGTGTATCTTTCTCTCATGTTAATCATCAGTTAAGACATCTGCTGTTTTTTAGCATTCATTATACTTTAACTGGAATTGTACATCACTGAAAAATGTGGTAGGCTTAAACAGTGTACACAGACTCAAATTTTAATAACTGTCAAAATCGATGAAGAGAGTTTTATTTTATGTTCCTTAGTGCTTCAGGAAGCAGATGTTGGACTGTTTTTCATCATTGGGGTCCCTGTTGTTTTCTGTTATTTTCCCCAACTATGAGGCAGCAAATGTTTGGAACCTTACCAGTTTGTAAAGCTGTAGAAATCCCTACTGTTGTGAGTTTTTCTTAAAGATTCCACTGAAACACAAAAGCCGTTAGATGGGGTTATTTTCATATTATATTACATGAAAATATTGTGTTAGGTACAATTGCATATTATCTACTGTAATCATCCTGTTAATCAGTTTCTGCAACTAATAATTTTCCCTTTTTTTTGCAGGATCTTCTCCAGATCCGGTCTTTTGTTTACGCAGAGGAGCCTAACATCGACATCCACAATTTCATTGGCACCTTCACCAGAGTAAGTAATGCCTTTGTGGTGGGGTTCCCTCCCAGGGCCTCTGCTGGTGATTAATGTGCTGTGCACCCCATCAGACACCGAGAATGTGTCAGTGTGGTCGACTGGGTCTGCCAACAACAAGAGCGTGACTCAGTTTGATGTTTCGGCGTTTCGGCAGGATTGAATCAACTGGCTAGTGACGTGCCGAATTCCGCGACCAAACACTAACGTCAAAAAGGAACAAATGAGAAACAGTAACCCCCGAGCCGTTTGGCTAGTTGCTACGAATAATATTGTGCGTGTTATTGTGCTGCTTTATCATGTTCCCTCTTAATATTTCTTCTCGGTTAACCTGCCTCCAAAACACTGGTTCTATGACAGCAGTCTGGCTTCTTCACGCACGTCGGAAAACTGTTCCATTTACGCCTCGAAAGTATCACTTTAAAACCCCCCCGCCCCTCTGATGTGTTTTAATGCAGAGCTATTTTTTACCCTTTCTTCTTCCATTGGCTTTGGTAGCTAGACTGGGTCTTGCATCAGAAGGGGAACTTAAATGTCTTTACATTCCAAAACATGTCAATAAAGGACTTCCGGAAGCCCTGTGATGATGCAGAAAGTTTCCTAAAAGCATGTTTACCATTAACCTCAGGTTTTTTTATATTGGCTAATAAGCGTTGTGCATGAACCCTAGTGAGGGACATTTCGCAATATCCTCTGGTTTTGCATTTTAATGATTTACCTGCTTGTCAGGCATTTTTCTATGTAAAATAAACAAATGAATTAACATGCTGTGAACTCTGCATTGTCTTCACCTAAGAAGAGAAGTAAAATTTCTGCTCCAAAGGAAGTATGAAAAAGGAGATTACAAGGAAAACTGACATTTATGCATAGTTCGCTCACAAACGACCTGACACATGCACAAAAGTGGGTTGATAAAAAGAACACAAGTTTACGCAGGCCACGTTCTCAAATGGGCATGCAGGTTGATCAAAGACCGGGGTTAACCTGTTTTGTTAACTCTTGGCTTGCTTTCTTAGCTTTAAAAATAGTTTTCTGAGGAATAAAAAAGACAAAGCACAGGGCTTTAAAGTAAATAAATGACTTAAAATGAGAAGATTTGAACCTGCGTCACTGGCAAATAGAAATAATTCCATTGTTTTGGACAACCTGGCCTTTGCTAATTGTTTGTGCCAATGGTAGTTTCTTTTTCAAGATTCCATACTGTTGTTTTTTGCAATGCTCAATCTCTCTGTAGTGGTTCTAATTGGAGTTTTCCTTGCGCTCATCTTTACAATTGTTTGCTTTTTCTTCATAGACAACTCTCTAGTCGGGATTTATGCCTTCTAATTTAAGAGGCAGATGCAAAAAGTAAACTCTAAAGGCAGGATCCAAGGCTTTACATTCACAGTTCTTTTATATTTTCACAATTTATGTAACATGGAATGCCCGACCAACTGGAAACATCAGACATTTGTCCGAATACCCAAAACCTAGAAGAAAAAAGGTGTTCCCAAGATAAAAGAGACATATTGGTTACATATTGTGTTTTTCTGTCTTGATTTTCAACAGATTTGGCATTTAATAAGTTAAACCATTTATCACTTGTGCCCCAGTTCGACTCTCCCTGATGAGGTGAATCAGTGGTTATGCAACAATCATAGTCACTTGATGCTTACTGTCTGTTCATTTGCATTTGGTCCCTTTTTTATTGCATACAGCCACATGCTGATGTGAATCGTGTCATTTGGTTTTTAAAAAGCCTCACCATATTTTGAAGGATTAGTGGTTTTGGCTTAAGAGATACATAGGATAGTACAACATTTCAGGATCTACCCACTGACTTAACTGGGCTTTTGAATAAGCTGAATGCTTTTTTGTTCCAGGAGGATGGGGACCCACCTGTGAATGAGAGCCTGAGTATAGAGAACACCTTGTGGGCCAGCACTGTCATTGCCTCAGGTAAATCATCTTTCCATGTGCAGGCTAACACTTTGAAACTGAAATGGATGTGAATTTGTGAAAGTGTGTGATTGAGCTCATCAAGGCTCTTGGGTGATGCTCGGGTTCAGCCTTGGGTCTCAATCATACACTTAGGTCAGGCCATTAACTGACATTGACTGGGGTTCCTCTAGTGGCAGTGCAGAGCTGGATAGTCACCTCTGGGGATGGGTGGGCTTGAATCTGCCCAGCCTCCCTTGGCTTTGTTTTTGTGCTGCAATATCTGACATTGCTGGGCGGATGCTTGTGAGCTTACCGTGGCATCGGTGCAATGGACTTCTCCTGCAGGTGGCACTAACTCTCCTGTAAGGCACAGCTGAGCTCCTACTGTGCCATGTTCTGAAAGGGCTCTGACAGAGGGACGTGTTAGAGCCTTTCAGCCTCCCTGTGTGGCCCAGGCGTAGTCGTAAAGCTGAAGACACGCTGGCAACCTCAAATGAGAGGTTTAAACGTCAGCAAAATAATTGCCGATTCCAAATTCATTTTTAGAATTGATTGGCTTTACTGATCACTTCCATCACGTTTGTCCCTGTAAAATTAAGCCAGTCTCAGGATTGAATACAAGTTCACATGCCCAGTGTGTAGAATATGCCATGGGCCTTTGAATGTGCTCTGTAGATCATTTTAGGGATACAACTAGTGGAAGGTTGGCAGAAAGGAGAAGGTCTAAAGAGCTGATATTATTACTTTCATTCTCAGAAGATACTAACCTCTATGTGTTTTTCTAGGCCAGTGTATCTGAAGCTTTCATCTGTTTAATTTCTCACTTTTGATATTGCAGTGGAGCCCCTGCTGTCAGACGTAGGCAATCTTTTAAAACTGTTTACCCTTGTTTTTTTGTTTTCTCTTGAAATCTTCCACAGATGTTGGCTTTTCTTCCATTGGCAGTACATTAATGGTGTGGCGTTAGATTTTCCATTTTCCATTAAAAAATACTTTCTAGCTCTTTTGAAGAGAGACTGCTGGTAAGCCACGTAGACGTGGTTGTAATATGGGCAACACATGTGCTGCCCAAGATGATTCTGTCTTCATAATGGAACACTGTATGGCAGAGAGATGTGATAATATTAGACCAGCTACAGAGCTGCAGTTTCCATTGTCTTTAATTTTGGCTCTTTTAGGCACTGTTGTGGGAGTTGTGATATACACCGGTAAAGAACTGCGCAGTGTGATGAACACTTCAAACCCAAGGCACAAGGTACTGTATGTTTCTGTGCTTTACATCCTGGCCTGCTAAAAAGAACGCGCTTCCTGCCTTGCAAGAGGAGACTGAGCTCTATGATCAATACATTACTAGCTGAACCCCGGGTCATGGCGCTAGCAGACTGCGACTGTAGTGCCTCAAGTGGTGGTGCCCTATTCACTGAGCTCCACAAGAGTGGGACTAGCTAATTTTACTGAGAGAGAGGTGCACAAAACCCTACTTCTATTGTCAGGCACTGTGGAGCCCAAATGACATGAACCCAGCAAGTTGGAGTGTCATTTGCTCATGCCCATGTGTCTTCTTCTTTGACCATTACCAGAGCTGTCGCTTGAGTGCTGTAGGCTTATTATGAAAACGAAAGAATCTCCTGCATTTGCACCCTTTAATATTGTCTAGGAAATGCCATCTTCTGGTGAGTGACTGTGGTCTTATTAAAGAACTTTTTGCAGTTTTGTACTCAGGCTGGTCAAAATATTAGAATCCCCTACCATAATGTGGAGCAAAAGCAGCTTTAAAAAGACGTGGCAAGTATTTCTTTTCCACAAGGCTTTAAAATATTTGCAGCTCAGTTCACACTTATTCTTCGAACAGGAGTGCCTGCAATTGACAGTGTGATGAGAGTAATAGAATTCTGCCTGCTCCACCAGTTTTTAATATATTGAAATCTGGTGTTTGCTCTGGAAGTTTGTTTCATGCACCTTAAGCTGGTCATGCATTGTCAGCCAGTTTTGGCTACAGAATCTTAGTATTTTCTAAAATGAGTGGATTGTGTTAAAAGTGCAGTAAGGACAGCTGACAGTGGGATATGATCGTCTACACCCCATCCATGAATGATTAACATTTGTATAAAAGGTACATACTGTCATTTATAGTTAAAAAGTAACTGTGAGGAGATTCTGAGATAAATCTTGACTTTGACTTAAGCACTGCACAGTTTATTCTTCTGGGCACAGACATCATCAAAGTGTGGTTTTCTGTTTGCTTTGTTTGGTCAGGTGGGCCTGTTTGACCTGGAAGTGAACTGCCTGACTAAGATCCTGTTTGGGGCGCTGGTTGTCGTCTCCCTGGTCATGGTGGCTCTGCAGCATTTCGCAGGCCGCTGGTACCTCCAGATCTTTCGCTTCCTTCTGCTCTTCTCGAACATCGTTCCCATCAGGTGAGCCGTACCTTCCTTATTCCTCCTCGGTGGCAGACACTTTGAGCATCCTTTCTTGAAGGCCACAAGGTTGCTCTGATCTTCAGTTTCCCCAAAACTCAAAAGTAAGCTGTTATCCTCATGAACAGGTGATTCTGTTTAGGACTGTGAAACTGTTTGAGAAGAGACCAGGCTTCAAGGTATAACTCTGCAGTGGATCCATGATGCATTTGGTTCAAGTCCATAGTACAGACAAAACTATCATATTCTTGTGCAAAGCATATAGTGTATAAGTAATTGTGAAAGCTCTCCCTTTAATGCTACAGAAATCTGGTTAAGTTCTAGGGCTTGCTGCAAAAAGCATCTTAAATATTAATCGCCTTAGCATTAAATGTAGAAACATTTTCTCTTAATTTGATCTTAAGTGTGTTGAGATGATTTGTGACATCTTCAAACTGGAGGGACATTAAAGAATGAAAAAGGGTGAATTTGTTGTATGCTTTTTATGCACCTGAGCACTGGCCCCAAGAGCTACTTACGTTTGACATAGTTTCTGTTTAAAGAGGAACAATATCTGCAAAGCTAAACCAAGTCACTCAAATTCTGCATATGCTGCATCTGCTTCCACCTGCTGTTTGCTTTAACATTCCTCAAAGTCGAAGGCCATTCTTCCTGTGAGATCCATTGAAAAGAGCTGCATTAACTCAGACTTGGCTGCAACGTATTGCCGTATGATTAAATCTCACATCACTTGCATTACAAATTTCAGTGCTTCAGGAGGTGATTACACTTTTTAGAGTTCAGATAGTCCACAATAGCAGCCGTCTTTTGCTTAGCATTTACCTAGTTTTTGCATATTGCTCCAGTTTTTGTTTTTATACATCTTTATTGAAAATCACATGTATATATCTAGTTTGATTGCCATGTGTATGCACAGCCGTATAGAAAACACGGAAGGCAGGGAAATATGGAGAGAAATAAAGTACGCCATCCTAAATCCTCATGGATTGTGTTTTAATTGTGGGAGTTACCTTGGCAAAAGCACTGGTAAACATGGATTGCATGCTTGTGAATCGTGCCTGCGGTGAACTTTCAGTCAACCTGCACAAACTGGCTTCCTGAGATGATACCTTCCGTGTGGCTTCCACCTCTTACATCCTATCTCTGTGCTCTTCACTCAAAACTTCTCTAGCCCCAAGTAAACTCAACCGCCACTTTGCATTGAGCACTCTGCATTCAGCTCTGGACTAACTATTACAAAGGTTTGGTAGTTTCTACCTCAGTTATCAATCACAGACCAGAAGAAACATTTTTCAATAGCAGGATGGGAGGATGAGGTTGTTTCAACTGGTGTCACCCACTAACACTAACAGTCTGACCCATTATCTCTGGCTTTTCAAAGATGTGGGTAGGGATGACTTTCTAATATTTAAATCCAACAGCAGCTGTCTTTCCATTGTTTTTGTTATTTCCGATTTCTTTATCATTACAGTAGAAGTAAAACGACTTAGACGTTATCGCCCACCTTCAAGTGCTGCACAGGAAACCGTTTTGTTTTGCATGTTCTTGAAAAGAAATCCGGAAGAGAAAGAGTGTGATGAAGTGTTTTTAACAATTTTGATTTGCGTTGAGTTGTCCCCAGCCACACCAGGGGTTTCTGGGTTTATTTGTCTGCAGGTTTTCTTGGTCTCTTCAAAGCTGCAGGTGCTTTTAAAAGCTGCAGAGGCTGTTAAATTGGTCCCATTAAGCCATTAATGGGATGTTTTAGTTTGAAATTGGCCTTCCAGGATTGGCGTTGCCTGCTCCTGATCTAACTCATTGTCAGGTCCATACTTAGAGTAAAGAAACAGACTGGCCTTATTCCTAGGTAATCTTTGCCATGATCGCCTTGGAGCTCATATTGCCCCAACTCTTTCTCTCTTCCCAGTTTGCGTGTTAACCTCGACATGGGGAAGATGGTGTTCAGCTGGATGATCCGCCGGGACTCCAAGATTCCGGGAACCGTAGTCCGAGCCAGTACAATTCCAGAACAGCTGGGCAGAATCTCATACCTCCTCACTGACAAGACAGGTGGGGCTTAGAACCATGTCAACTAGTGAAGATTTCCTCAAGCCTATCATTGGTGGCATCGAGCAGGGTTTGTCATGTCTAAACATGTGTGTTATATAATATTTCCTATATCAACTTATGATGGATTGTTATATTTAGACAAACACCTACACCATCTGAGAAAGGTTACTTAATGACATCCATAATCTGCATTCTGCCCCTTCGAAAGGGACATGTTTTCACTATTAACAAACAGTTTTATACCTACCTGACTGTAGTCTTAAAAATACAGTGGCTCAAGTAAGGATTGGTTTTAATGTTTTAATATGGTTTTGATTCTCAGCTGTCCAGGTTAATGCTATGTATCGTTGCGCTCATGTATTTCTTTAAAATTGCAGCTTAAAATATTAGGTTCTTTTTTAATTTCCTTTTGTGGTTTGACCTGAATATTTGCCTCAATGTGTTCATTATTTTATGGAAGGATAGGTGAAAGAGTGCAGTTTTTGGAGGTGAAAGCTCTGTACAGGCCCGGGTTAGAGAATGCATTGTGCCAGACCCTGAACTTTACAGACATTTGCACACATTCTGGCATTTTGATTAAACCCCAAAGCTTGCCTTTCAAATCCCTTGCATCCTGGGATATATCTACAGGTAGAGAGGATATAAGCAGAAGGACACCCCCACTCCCTCCTTCTGGCAAATTGATAATACATTTGTAGCAGTTGTGCACCAGGGACAAGCATAGTATGTGTAATATTTAGTTTGGTGTCTTAGAATTGACAGTAATAGAGGCTGTGATAAGGCACACCAAGAAAGAAGGTAGTTGCACTCTCTCACCACTGGAGGCATCCTAGTAGGTTTTAACTACAATTTGGATTGGGATATTGTGTTTGTGTTAAGTTTTCCAACAAAACTTAATTTTATCTTGGGGATTGGCTGGCGACCTTTTACTGAAGGAATTAACTTAAAGTGATATAACCCAAGTGCATTTTAAAGCTGTTTAATATTTTATTCAGCAAGAACACCCTGCATTATTTGAAGTGATTTAAAAAAACTAAAGATTTGACACTGTCTATCCTCCTTTGGAATAACTTGCTATTTTTTTAGAATTACATGTTCTTTTATAACTAAGAGCAAATATTGTTTTTCAGTGCGCTGTCTGTCTTGCCTAAATCAGTTCTGAACAATTCCTTATCTGAGACCACAGTGACATAAGTGCTAACTTACCTCAGAACTGTTTGCAGTGGAAACACCAGAATGCGATTGAAAAGATCTCCCACGCAGGCTTTTATTTAGAATTTCAGCCCACAAACTTTCTAGAAACATTAGTCTAGTCATTAAAAAGGGCAAAATAGGTCAAAACACTTCTTTTTTATGAATATGTTCATCTCCTTACTAGAGACTAGTGAAATCTGAAATTATTAATGCTAGATACAAATGCTGTGGATATATTAGATAAACTTGGAAATTGATATGAGCTCTGTCTGTTAACCCTATTTTCAATTTTTTTTTTACGTTAATGTATATCAGACTCCAGATTTTTGGGAGGGGGTTTCGGAAGGCTGCAGAAAAACAGTTCTTTACTTAAGCGATCCAATAAATATGCTGTCGAACTTGTGGCTGTTTCCTGGCATTCTGATAAAGGAGACAGGCTGACTTGTCTTTGAAGTCGCTAATCTTGGAGCACTTTAGCCCACTAGTGATCCCCTAAGGTTAGACTGTAGGAAGAGCCTGTTTAAAGCTATGAAGACGATTTATAACTTGTTATTACGGCCATTCAGGGTTTTAAAACAAAACGGAAAATAAGTAAGTTCGGGGATTATCTGCGCTACCGGGGTTACTAAGTAGCACTGCTTTTTTAACTGGCTCCCTGTGGTTGCCAGGACAGTGGGGTACACTCATGAGACCTTCCGGTTTGGGCTTTGAGAGTGGAGATTTGGACACAGGCTGGCGTCGGGATTATGAATCAAGCAGCACATGTTGTTTGGCTGTCATAAAGCTACTCATTTCACTAGTGTTTGTTCTGGTAATCTGTAATAAAGATCTTCTTGCCTTTTTCTCTGCCAGTGTTTTTCCTCACGTAGCTTATAGAATATGTGATATTTTGATAGTAAAAAAGATACAAAAACAAAATGATGGTTTGATAGTTTTGACGCCAGAATATTTTTTTTCTAAGGTGATGTTTTTTAGCAAATGGTTGGTGTTTGTAATGGTAATAAATAATATAGAGGTCCTTGCCTCACTGCCAGTGTTTTGTATGATTGCCATAGCTTCTGGAATATTTAAATGATTTTACTAGTAAAAAAGATACAGAAACAAGGTGATATTTTTCTCATTTGAGGCTGGTGATGGAACAGATTTTAAAATGGTTTGTGTTTCCTGTTTGGTGTAGCACCTTATTTTGCTGTACAGTTTACTGTAGTCTGTATCCTGTGTGCTGAATTTACTCACGCTTAATTAGAATTTCATTTGACCTTTTCTGTTCATTTCCTGATTAAAATCTTAACTTCACTGTACATAACATTGTCCAAGCGAGAGTGTAAATAACATTTATTTTCCTAAGCTTAGTATATGTTAGTATAAATAACATTTATTTTCCTAAGCTTAGTATATGTTAGTAGTGTTTTGAAATGACAATACCAAGGTTTAAGAAAATAATTGCTACTCACAGTCCTGATAATAACGGGACTGGTGGATTCTGACTGGTTGGAGTTCCTCTCACTGTAAGGTAAATTCACCAAGGTTTTACACCAACACCTTTGAAGTAACCAGTGTAAAAAAAGCCTTAAAAACCAAAGTAGCATAATGAGGTATTTCTTAATTGAGCCTGATGAGAGGTATTTTTTTCCCCTAAAAAGAGTCTCATTTATGAAGCACAGTGTTTATTATCACACTTTAGTTTAGATTTTTATTTGATGAATAGTGGAGTGTTGGAAGACAGTGTGGGACAAAAATAATTTTAAAATATGGTACTTTAGGCTATTCCCAAATTTGTAATTTGTGACAAAGCAAAAGTGGTGTGTGTACAATTTATAACAGGTTTTGTCAATCAGTATCTCTAAGTAGATGCAGAAGGAATGTGTTTTTTCTTTTTTCTTCCACTAAGCGTAAACATAAAAAGTGAAAGCTTTGAAGATTTGTTCAGGTTTAATTTTTGCACAGTGCTGCGAGTTTGCAGCTCCCAGAGGCTTTGAGATGTGTGCCATACTGGGAGACAAGCTAGTTAATGCATCTTTAAATCAAAAAGATTTTTGAAGGGTCTCCTCATGTCTTATTTACTGCCCATCTACACAGGCCTCGCCATCCCACTCTGGGATTTTTTTGCCCTTAGAATGATAGGGTAGCACTGTATTCAGAGTTCATGACCTCTCTCAATTTTGTTTGAAAAAAGCAAAAGAATGTGTCTTGGTTCGAATGAAAAATGTTTGAGGGTTAAGTCTCTCCCTGATGTGCCTGTATTGGATCAATTTTGTTGTCCTAAGTGCTTCAGAAGTTGGTCATTTTACAGCACCAGTGCTTTTAACCAAGTGTTAGGAAGTGGGTTTAAGGGTTGGGATTGAGGAAATATGAAATGGAGCATGAGGCAAGTGCTGTTGAGTCTTTTATGCTTAACTGTCATTAAATCAGTGTTGCTGCTGCTTAATAGTTGAGACCTATAACTTACCTTCACCTTCCATCCACAATAATATCTACATCCTTTACTCCTCTTAATAAACTCCATTAGATCTCTTTGCTCATTTCCCTCAAATTTAAAGCTCCCATTTCATTCTTTTAAGTATATAGTTAAATATAATGACTACAGAAAAGAGTCCACTTGGGATCTTGGCAATAATTGGACTCCTGGTGGGTAACTACTCCATGCACCTCTTAAATTCCTATATTTGAAATATTAGCATCAGCACTAACTTAGACGAGGCTCTTCGCTGTCTTCAGTATATTTGTTCGTGACTCTTCAGAGTTTATTGAACCTTATAGATATCTGAAAAGGGGCAGCTGTACGTACTGGCACACCATGTTTCAACTAAGTTACATTATTGCCTTTACACTGCTTTGTTACAACAATTTAACAACGGTCCATAAGCACAAAAGAGGCTTCGCTGCCACAAAAGAATATTTATTACACTGAATAAATAAAGAGAAAATTATTCGTTAGTCATGTGCTCTTTGTCAAAGCACTGTGACTCACCTACAAAATGTGATCTTTTTACCAAGACAAAGTCACACGTGTTGTGTTTTCCTTTCCAAAGTTTTGCAAAAAATTTCTTCTAGCTTTCAAGCTCATTTGTCTTTTCTCTCCACCTCTTCCTAATATCCAGGGACTCTGACCCAGAATGAAATGGTGTTCAGGCGTCTGCACCTCGGCACCGTGGCCTATGGCATGGACTCCATGGATGAGGTGCAGAGTCACGTTTTTAGTGCCTACACACAGGTATGAATAGGCCGTCAGCTCTTGCCTGAACAATGTCAAATGTAATGGAGCCTCACCTTGAAATTGTTAACCCTCACAAACTGTGAAACAGTGCAGTTCTCACAAGGTAAATATGATCCGTATGCGCTGGCTGGGCTAGGGCTAACTCACCAGTAAGATTTTCTTTTTTGCTTGTCAGCCCTGATTAGCGTGTGGCGTGATGCCGCAGTTGTGTTCTCTCTGTCAAGCATGTTCATTTGGGTTTGACAAATCTCTGTTCTAAAGCTAATAGGAGTTATTCACCTTTGGTTTTGTCAACCAAAAATGGACTAAAAAATGAAGACGGAAAAAGAAACACTTTTTAAGGAATGAAACAACACAACTTGCCTGGACAAGCAGTCAGGCCAGCGCTGTAAAAACTGGAAAGCCATTGTTGTAAAACCAATTAGCCCCTAATTATTCTTTCGGTGAATGCCCCCTTGACCCTGACTCACAACTTTGGTCCCCTTGACATCAAAGGTTAGTGGAGCAGGAAACAGGATTACCCCGCAGCCCGCCTCTGACGAAGTTAATTTAGTAATTGCACAATTAACCCTGGAAATGTACTCCTAAAAATAGCAAGCCGAAAAAGCAAAAGAGGTTTTTTGTTCATATTTTTATACATCTGTTTGCGTTCATCTCTCCATTGATGTTTTACATGAATAGAAGGCTGGGAAATGCCGAATTAGTTCAAGATTGTTTGACATTGATTAAAAAGTTATATTGATGTTAGTTAGGAAATAAGCATCACAGGGGTTTAATTCCTTACAGAATTCAGATTTCACAATCTGTTTGCATTATTAATTTTGGCAGAACAGGAGAGATGTTGATATACTGCAGAGAATCTGGGGAAAAGCAACCATTTAGGGTGGAATGAATATACTGCTAACAACCAGTCAAAGCTCCTGGGCCTGCTCTTCTCACTTTCCCATGGATTTAAGAACTCTGTGACATTAACAGTTATGATTTAATAATGCACAGTATCTTCAAGCCCTATCTTAAATCAAGGACTTAATTACAGGCTTATGGAATGACATTCCAGTATGAAATATGGGCTGAATCAGGTGTAAAACTGGTTAATAGATTAATGGAAACTATTTTCTATTAGGAAAAATAGTTATTTACAGGGCATTCATCTGTAATTGTCTAAAGATTAAATTCGCATGTACACTATCCTTAAGCATCAACATGTGAAACACTATTTCAAAAACAATGAACAGGTTCTCATTTAATCTCATTCTACACACTTCTGCCTTTAAGTCCTCAGTAATGCTAGATTCATTATGGAATACCGGATCTTTCAGACATCTCCACAGGTGAAAGTCCCACAGATTCAGTTCACGTAACTTACATGACCAAACAAATCTTTGACCCAGTCAGTCGTGCGGGAAGACGGTTGGTTCGTAATGAGTTTAGAATTATGCAAACCTTTATTTGCACATTCATAAAAGAATTCCTCATCTGCTGAGGTGTTTTTTTTCTTCATTAGGCACATTTTTTAGGGTGGCGTTGCACGGTGTAAATAAAATAATTTTTTAAATCCACTTCAAGAACTTAAGCAAATAATTTCTAGCAAGAGGAGATGCTGAGGAAGAAGAACAATAACTTCCTCACGTTTTTTTAAAACAAAAACCGTTTCGCTTCTCTGCTCCACAAGTGGTCGTTCATGAGTTGCTTTTATATTTTGGGGCAGCTGTTTGCGCAGTACAGTCCTAAGGCGGCCCTGCTGCTAGCTGCCCCCATTGAAAGGGCGACAATAACCGCTTTCCTGTCGTGCCCTTCGCCAGCCGTCTCACGATCTCCCGGCGGCCAGAGGCCCAGCCGCCACCAAGGTGCGGAAGACCATCAGCAGCCGCGTCCACGAGGCGGTGAAGGCCATCGCCTTGTGCCACAACGTCACGCCGGTGTACGAGTCCAACAGGGTGACGGACCAGGCGGAGGCCGAGCAGCACTACGAAGACGCCTGCCGAGTGTACCAGGCCTCCAGCCCGGACGAGGTACTGCCCTCTAGCTCCTGACAAAACCGTCTAAAACGGAGGTCACCTTTCATTTGCCAGATATCCTGTTGTCAGTCATTTAATGTAATCACAGTGGTTAGAATTGATGCTTCGCAGCTCTGGGGCCCTGGGTACAATTCATAAAGTGGGACTTAATGAAGAACCATCACATTACATGTCGTTTTATAAAGAAATATAAAAAAACATGACAGGTTGCTCAGGGCTCTGTCTGAATGCAGCTGTGAGAGTCTCAGTTAGTCTTCTTAACAATTTGCTTTGAAAGCCAGCACACAGCTTGCATTTGCTGTGGAAAATACATTTATGAATTTGGGAAGTCAGCTGAAAAACAGTAAAACAGTAATCTTCTTTAATGTTCGTTTTGGAACGAGCAAGGTGGGCAAAACAGCCTTTTTTTGTTTTGTGTATTTCTGATGTTGTATGGCCTAGTGCTTGAATCAGCGAACAGAGCAGAGTGATTTGTAGTTCCTACCATGGTTATATCACGGTTTTGGTTGACAGAAGATTATGTCATGATTGTTGAGATCTGGATCCTTCCCTTGAGAAATGCCCAGGAGTACTTGACAGCAGATATTACACTGTCTAGTTCAGGCTGTTCTCAGCCTGTTTTTGGAGAGGAAGTGTTCATCATTTTATCTCGTAGCAGTCTTCCTGAAACACTGCACACTGCCCTCCACATAAGAACAAAATGCACTTGTGTTACCAGTAATTGATGGATATATGGTTAAATCTGGGGAAAATGTTGTGATGAAAGTCCAGCTATAAGATCTGTGTTCCTGTCTTACACAAGAAGACCAAGCTCTTTTAAAACATGCACAGCAGATATAATAATATATGACTACAATAAAATAAAAGTTAGATCTTTGTAACTGTACGTGAATTAGGGGGCTTTCTGCAGCAAATGAATTCAAGATGACAGGCGGCCTGCTGTTTTTCCCCTACCCTACACGACTACTTAAGTAGTTGATCAATCTCCATTAAGACCCCTGGCATTAGAAGACAGGGGAGTAAAAGATATTTCTGTCAAAGTGGAGACCCCTGTCTTCCACCAAAGAAACAGTGCAAAGGTGGCCTCTTACTGAAATTCTGTTGTTCTTTCAGGCAATTTTTTTCCACAAAAGCTAGAGACTGTGGACCAGAACAAATGTGGTTTCCAGGATAAAATTCTCTCTGTACTCTAGAGACCAGCTGAAATGCAGAGACAGCTGATTTCATTAAGACTGTATTTCCAGAGCTTGGTGCTAGAATGAAAAAATGGCTCATATTTACTTATGTTTAAAAGAAAATACACATTTTGTTTTCACTTGTGCTTACTAAAATTTTAAAATGATTTGTTAGAGCAGACTGTGAAATAGATGTACTACATCATAGTTAAAAACACTTTTTAAAGTAAAAAGCAAAGTGTTGTTGACTCTTAATCTTGAGATGAAATTATAAAAATAAATGCAATAAGAAATGCCCTCTATTGCCAAAGAAGTTATTATCCCTCAGTCTTTATCCCAAATATCCCTAAAGGAGTGCATTTTTATTGCTGCCACTTGTTTACATGTAGATGTCATGTGAAATAATTGTGTTTTACATCTTAAGATTGTATGGGGGGAAAAGTATTGTTTCAGCTTTTAAGAAGAGCTTACTTTAATCTTCATTGTGGTGGAGGGGTCTTGCAAATTGATGGTCAGAAACACGATCTCTGTCTCTAGTGTATTAAAGCCAGGTTACAGTGAAGCCATAAATAGATAGTTTTGCCAGTTTTGATGTCTGGCTCTGTATATCATTGAGAATTCAATGCCTCAGACTTCAGGGGTAAGAGGCACCTGGGTGAAGATTTGCTTAATGATGAGAGAAGTTCAAAGATGTAATTCCAAGATGGCAGCATGTGCTTGTTTACATGGGTGGCACATCCCTTACAAACATACGGTTCACACCAGTTCAGAGGTCACAGACTTTGATGATAACTTAATGCCTGGAATCTGTATTGACAGAAAAGAAAACAAGTCCATCGGGCATTATTATATATGAATAGCATCTGTTGGACATGAATGTTGAGTACAGATTTGTAGGTTGGAGTTCATAGCACATCAGCTCCAATACAGGTATAGAATTTCGAGATTGATTCCCTTCTACAAACACAAGACTGTTTTTCCTTTCATTATGTACTTTTTACTCCCTTATGAATAACTGGGAAAACTCAAACATTATTAACGCTAGGATGAGAGATAGAGAGAGAAGTTAAGAGAGGTTACAAATGAGAGGAATGCTATTCAACTCATCTAGCTTGTTTGGTTGCTGGTAGCTAATTGATGATCTTTTTTCAAAGACGAAACACTTTTGACTTTGACAAACGTGGGCAGTCTGTTCCATACCCCCACAACCCTTTGTGTAGAGAAGTGCCTCCTAGCCTCAATTCTAAAAGCACTCGTACCACACTCGACCGTTTTGAGATTTCTTCCCCACATTGAATGGGCAAACTTTTGATAAGGGTGGCATGAGAGTTGCACAGTGAGATTTGAAACATTTGAATATTCTGCGGTGCTCTAGATTCATGAAGCCTGCAGATGCACTCTGCCGGGGCGTGACACCAGCGGTTCAGGCTTGGAGAGCAGGGCAGTGTGGGTGCTTGGCGTGCTGGAAATGGTGCTGCATTATAAAAATACAAACATGCAGACATGCAAAACAAACAGGGCCAGTATTTGCGGTGGTCTTGAGTAATGCAGGAAAGGGCACTATTTATAACTGCACAAGCGTCACACAGGCGGTTGTTCATTTTTTCACCATTGCTCTTTTGCACTGCACAGCACCACTTTCAGTTGTAAATGCCACTGAGCACCTCAACCAACAGCAGGACAGCACAGCCACACGCTTCGCTGGGGCAGTTCTGCGAATGAAATCGAAATGCAAAACCTCAGCACGCTTGTGGTAAGAAAGGGAAACACAAGACACATCCAAGATCATAGCATTTGAATATAAGTCACATTAGACTTTTACATTTGTTTCTAATGAACTTCCTGTAGGAATGTGACACACTGGGAGAATTATTTGGGTGATTTTCAAACTTAGACAGCGGTTAAGCTAAATAAATGCATCACAACACTTTTGGATCTGCTTTTGATCCCTTAGCTACTTTATAAACTTTAAAAAGTACAAATAAATCGTGGTGTTGGATTATGAAACAGCTGTGGTAGATTTTTATTGTGTATGAGTGTTTGTTTCATAAAAAAAACGCTGGCTGCTTGATTTGTCCAGGCGTTGACAACTGGCCTGCTTTAGTTTCTGTCTGCCGTTATGTGGAGTATAAAAATATAAACTTTCACAAATTAGATTTTTTTTTTTAAATGTGTGCCAGGAAGTCTAATGATAGACACTGTGCAGCCAGCAAGCATGAATGGTCAGAAATGTAGCTGGTTATTTCTGTGGTCGCTGAGAGCTGAGAGCTTTTTGTTTGACAAACTGGCTCAAGAAATGAAGCTAATTGCCCTGCTAAGAATGTTAGCATTCCACTTTCAACAGCAGACTTGAAGGACTTGGCGTGTAGACAATGGGACGTGTAGTTTGGTTTCTCTATTCGTCCTCCTGTTGTTCATGAGGTTCTGTGACGTCTGAATCGAGCCATTTGAAGTGAGCAATATTGCTGTTGGTGTTTACGAAGCTGGCAAAGAACTAAAAGACAGAAACGTGACTGATTGTTTGCCTTTGAGTCACTCAGTTTTAAATAAGTGAAGCGGTTAATTAAAACTTCAAACTAAATAGTAAGTGGACAGGGATAAATAGCTGCCCATGTCCAGTTAGGGCACCTGTTTTTTTGGATCTGAATATTGCTGGTTAAAAGTATGGGATTTCCACAGCGTGATGCCACCCTGTGTTTTCCGTATGATAGCACCACGCTTACACGTGTTGTGTTGAGACGTGGAGTTCTGTGCTGTGGGATTGCGGGATGATTGTTCAGCGACTTTTTTAGGGATTGGTCTAGAATACCCACTGAACTTGTGTAGGCTATCCTACCCTATTGATGGGCCACGCAATGGAAGAGTTCTGAAGGCGTTTAAATATATATAATTATGAATCATGGAGACACTTCAACCGAGCTGGAAAAAGCAAATTGCTAAAAACAAAATCTGTTTTGTCTCTTTCTTGTTTTGCCAGATTTTGTTCTGTTATGTAGAGAACTGCCCAAAAGGTTTTGAAACTGCTCATACCATCTCACTGCTTGGAATGTACAGTACACAGTGATCGTGACTTTGTTACTAATGTCATAAAATTACATTTACCAGAGCACGTCAGAACACTGTGAAATGATTGCTCATGGCACTGCTCTTTATGGTACACATGTCCTTATTTTGCTAAAATTGATTTTGATCTGAATAATGGGGCTGTTCCTAAAAAGAAGAGACCCCGGCTACTACAAGTTGCTATTGACTCTCCGTTGTTTTGTTTCTACTTATCTGCCAAATAAAACTCACACTACATCAGCTTAGGGTTGCCAGGGTACATTATTAACAGTGAAATAGACTGATTTCTAGAAATGGAAATTAGATTTTGCACTTTAGCTCGGAGTATAAAGTTTCAGAAAACCAGAACTGAGCTGGTGCAACACCTTTCTTGAACCAAAATGGAAAGATTCCAAAAGTGCCGTTTGACACTCCTGAGTTCTTGTAAATTCTTAAATCTCACAGGTTTAAGCTGTGGGGAAAAAAAAGTTTCCCGCTTATTGACTGCGTTTTTAAAGTGTCAAAACTAGAAAGAGATAATGTTTGTGTACAATACAGAATATTTTTTGCTGCTGTTACTTTCAGCATCATTTTGGAATTTAGTGACTTTTATTAGGGGATAGAAGCAGTGCTCCCAGGTTTACTGTGACTCTGACAGGAATAAGTGGTGGACAGTTTGTGCTGTGCAGCTGAAAGCATACAAAGTTGTCTTGCCAGTGTTTAAAACATGCTGACATTGGACTCCCTGCACTAAATAAACATTAGCACAGTCTTTCC